CACCAAATAAACAGAAACTGAAATAGAGGACTGAAAGAATTAGGCAGAATGCCTTTATACATAACTTCTGAAAAATGGAGGGTGGGGGAAAAGCCCAGAATGGTATTTATGCACTGGAGTCCCAAGGTATTTGTTGAAAACAATGACAGGTCTGTTTGACACAAAGGCACATGTTACAGAGAGCAAGCTTGTCTCTTTGAAGTGCCTGCCACAGGAGCCCTGTAACACATACCAGCTGCTCGTTGCAGAGGCTCTCCTGGCAAGGCCAAGGGACCGGCCCTGGTCCTTCCTCTGGGAGGTAAGATGAGTGACCTCTGGTGTGGAGGTGTCCTCCCGGTGGCTTCTTGGGCACTCCTGAAACAGACCTGCTTTGCATTCACATGCACCCTCCCAGGCAGGGCCTGGCCAGAAGCAGGAAGGGGCCTTCCTTGGTGTTTCGTAGCACAGGACCTGTTGTGGCAAGGCTGGGAGTGGCTCCCAAGGAACCGCTAAGAGGCCGATGCAATGACAGACTCGGCCTGTCTCTGGGGCAGAGACGCTGCAGAGAGCAGTGTCTCCTTTCCAGGATGGCAGAGAACTGGGCAAGGCCAGGCGGTGGCAGGGAAAGTGAGGACCCTTGCCAAAGAGCAGTGGGAAGGAGCTCCCTCAGCAGAAATCATCCCAGCAGGGTTTGCTCAGTGCCTGAATCACCATTTCAAATGTGAAATGAGAAAGGTATCAAGGACATCTCCAGCACCATCAGACCAGCAGAACTCCAGGCTTTACCAGCTTCTTCAGGGAAGCAAAGCAGCATTTGCCAATGACTGTGGTGTAAGTACTCCACCAGTGGTTGATTTCAAGCTACCAGTGTGACCCCACTAAACAGAGTTGGGAAGAGTTGCATTATATGGTATTTCCACCATACAGATACTATAGACCTCAATAACGCCAACATAATAAGCTGAGGTAATCAGGAGTACATTGGTTTTTGATGTAAGTGTATTTTTTTGTTGTTGTTTTTTGAGACAGGGTCTCACTCTATCCCCCAGGCTGGAGTGCAGTGGTGTGATTACAGCTCACTGCAGCCTCTCACACCCCAGACCTTCACCCATGCCCCGGAGAACAGCAAAACAGGTCCCTGCTAAGTATAGGGTCCTACCTGCTAGAACCAGGACACTTCAAGACAACTTAAAATACCGTGTGTTGGTCTGTTCTCACACTACTATAAAGAACTACCTGAGACCAGGTAATTTATGAAGAAGAGAGGTTTAATTGACTCACAGATCCACAGGCTTAACAGGAAGCATGGCTGGGAGACTCAGGAAATGTACAATCATGGAGAAAGGTGAAGGGGAAGCAAGCATGACTTACATGGGGGCAGGAGAGAGCGCCAAGGGGGAATGCCACACACTTCTAAACGATCAGATCTCATGAGGACTCACTGTCATGAGATCAGCAAGGGGGAAATCTGTCCCCATGATCCAGTCACCTCCCACCAGGCCCTTCCTCTGATTCGACATGAGATTTGGGTAGGGACACGAATCCAAACCCTATCACCCTGCCAGCAATGTTTTAATTTATATTTCCTTGATGATGGATTTTGAACAAATGTGGCTATCCAAATGCCTACAAACCATCTGGATACTTGTGAAGTGCCTATTCAAATCTCTTGTCTATTTCTAATATATTGTTATCTTTTTCTTGTTGAATTTGTAGTTGTTTGTACATTCTGGAGGAGTCTTGTTGGAGGTGTGGATTACCAACGTCTTCCACTTCATGGCTTGCCTTTTCACTCTCTCAATGGAAACTTAAGAGTTCTTAGTGCAACAAAATCCAGTTTATCAACGTTTCATTCTTGGAGCTAGTGCTTCCTTAAAATCTTTGCCTATTCCAGGGGCAGGAAGATTGTCTGTTTTCTTGTAGAAGCTGCATTATTTTGCTTTCCATATTGAGGACTGTGATCCATTGGAAATTGACATTTGTATATGCTGTGAGAGGTCAAGCTTCATTTGTTTTCATATGGAAATCCCAAATTATTCTTGGTTTTTTGAGACAGGGTCACTCTGTCACCCAGGCTGGAGTGCCGTGGTGCAGTCTCGGCTCACTGCAACTTCCGCCTCTCAGGCTCAAGTGATCCTCCCACTTCAGCCTCCCAAGTAGCTGGGACCACAGACATGTGCCACCATGCCGAGTTAATTTTTGTATTTTTTGCAGACGGGGTTTCACTATGTTGCCCAGGCTTGTCTCGAACTCCTGAGCTCAAGCAATCTGCCCACCTCAGCATCCCAAAGTGCTGGGATTACAGACATGAGCCACCAGGCCCTGGCCCCCAAATTATTATTCTTAAGTAGCTAAAAGTCTTTTTTTGCCTTGATGGTTTACCAATCCGACTTGATTGACCGATGACTCATTAGGATTTTCTAGTTTAAATTGTTTAATTTCTGTATTCTTGCTAAGTAATATCTATCTTTTTTCACCTTTAAAGGGAGAATAGGAAGAGACAGTATAAAGTGGAGGCGATGGGCTGGGCGCAGTGCCTCATGCCTATAAATCCCTGCACTTTGGGAGGCTGAGGCAGGTGGATCACCTGAGGTCAGGAGTTCAAGACCAGCCTGGCCAACATGATAAAACTCTGTTTCTACTAAAAATATAAAAAGCCAGCTGTGGTGGCATGCACTTGTAATCCCAGCTACTCGAGAGGCTGAGGCAGGAGAATTGCTTGAACCCAGGAGGTGGAGGTTGCAGTGAGTGGAGATCGTGCCACTGCACTCCAGCCTGGGTGACAGAGTGAGACTCTGTCTCAAAAAAAAAAAATGTGGAGGCGATGATGGAATAAGTGGGAACAGTTCTCACCCTAAGCCAGGGAGTCTGGACTACACACCTCCACTACAATGAGCCTTGCCCAGCCACACCATTACTCCAGGGCAACCTCCCAGTGAGCCCACCACAGGGCTCTGATCCTGAACCCAAACTGGATAGGAAATGTTGACTCAAAACTGCTCAGTCAGGTAATCTGGGAAAGCCAAAAGGTGAAATGATCCATTGCTGTAGAATCACGATATTCCTGAAGTCAATTCAGGGAGATCTCAGGAACAAAGCTGTTATTTTCCAAAATGACTTCGAGGTGATTTGATTTCTTCTTGCTCTTTTCACCACTGGATCGTGTTCCAGTGTAGGCCACACTGAGGAAGTGGAGGAAGTGGAGTTCCTCACCTAACGGAGGCTTTCCTACTGTACCATCCTTACTCTTTCCCGTGCAATTTCCAGGCCCTTAATCTTAGTGTTAGTTATTAGCTCCAGTTATCACGAGTTTGTGTGCAGACACTGTGCTGAGCACTTCACCAGGAATTTACTCATCTGTATACCTTCCCAGCTTTTCCTTCTGAGCCCTTCTCATTGCCTGAAGCTACCTTATGTATTTGTTGGTGTCTACTCAACTGAAAGACATGTTTCATGGGGTCCTTGTCTCCTTCACTATTGTATCAAAACATCTAGCCTGGCGCCCAGCGCATGTGTGGTAGGTACTCAGTGCACAGTTGCTGAATGAATGAACTAGTTTTCAGTGGTGCCTATGGCAGGCCTTGCCCATTCTTCCCAGCAAAGCACATAAGGTATATGGTGACCAAATGCGGACCTCTCCTCTCAGCCAGTCACACCAGTGTGAAGAAAATAAAAAGGAACTAGACATGATGGATGACCAATTATTTTTACAATTATTCTTTCAATTAAGTGTGTTGCACAAGTGTTTCAAATACCTAAACATATTTCCCATTTCTTTCATGAGGTCATACTACAGATGGTTTTTGGTCCTCATTCTGACCAACCATCCTATCACTTTATGGCCTCTGCTTTTCAGCCTCCCGAGTAAGTACCTCAGGCGGACAGAAGGAACTTCCATCTTTGCTATTGTGTCTCCCACTGTTTCCTTTAATCCCCTTCTCCAGTCATCTACAAAAACTACTCTAAAATAGTTTTATTGCTTCAGTCTGCAGCGTGTTGATCACTTTAACCACCTGCCACCACTGCGTGCGCGCGCGCACACACACACACACCCCCTTTATCCATGGCAGATACGTTCCAAGACCTCCAGTGGATGCCTGAAACCACAGATAATTCCAAACCCTACATATGCAATGTTTTTTCCTATACATATGTACCTATGATGTTTAATTTATAAATTAGGCACAGTAAGAGATGAACAACTAGAACTAGTAATAAAATAGAACAACTACACTGTAATAAAGATTATGTGAGTGCGGTCTCTCTCCCTTAAAATATCTTATTGTACTGCACTGTACTCGCCTATTTTCAGACCACCGCTGACCGTGGGTAACAAACTCTGGAAATCAAAATCACTAATAAGTGGGGCCACTTCCGTAGTCTTAAAACCGTAATTTTGCATTGCTGGGGCACCACTTCAATTTTATAACGGGCTATCCATTACTCATAACATAGATTAAGCAGTTCAGCAGGGAAAACTAATCTAAATTCTTAAGGGATAGTCACTGCTTTAAATTAAATGCCATCAGACTAAAAATTTGTACTGATAATACTTTGAATACACTTGAATAAACAGAAGACAGATTGTGAAAATGCGCTGTCTTCAAACTCTTGAGTGCTCAGCACACCCAGAAGCCCCCCTAAAGAGGAAACCCCATCGACAGCCTCAGCGGCCCATAAATCCACAAATGCCTCAAAAAAAACCAAAAAACCAAGGAATACAGTTTATCTTCAACATCTTTGCTCCCTTAATGTGGCCGTAAGAAGTAAACTCGTCTCTGTGTGAATGCGATTCACACATTGAAGTAGTCGATCTTACGCAGGCACAAAGGAAAGTTCTGGCCCAGGCCCTAAAACGCCCTGAGAGCCCTGGTCAGACTCCTCGGACACAGCGTGGTGTGGCTGTTCTTTCCTGATGAAAGCACTCTTAAAATGGTAGCATTACATACATGTCCTAAGTTTTCCAGGAGAATGCATTTTTTAAATTATCTAAGAAAGAATGGACAAGAATGACAGTGAACTTCTCGTTTTAGAATGTTCTTTATTCTGACAGTTGTTGGACAAATATAAGGCATGTTCACAAGTATCTGAAGTTATATACAAAACACACTCATTGGACGATGTTCCTCTTCTTTTGTACTTGCTGCTGCAAACTGATCCTTATGCATGTTAACACCCATAGCGCTCAATTCTTACGAATATGCGGACAATGTTTTGGGGGCCACCGTGGAGAATGTTTCAAACTAGGGCGTGAGCTTCTACGAACTAAGTCACTAAGACATCAGAACTCATGGTGAATAAAGGCAGAGGAAGGTGACCAAATCAGCTCACAAACTCATGACTCCAAGTATCCAGTGGAACAAAGAACACATTGAAAAACATTTTTTGATCCTTCATGTTGGATAGAAATGGAATGTGTCCAGAATTCATGGTTCTATATTTACCACTGTATAAAACTCACAAAACAGTATCTAATTTTTCATGGTTTCTAATGCAGTTACAGTTTTGTTTTAGGCCACAGTATAAGACTGCATGCATACTTTACACAAATGTCAAACACAGAGCGACTGTAACACAGACACCTCAGGGTTGTCTAAAGACACAGCTTCTCTTTTTGTGGTGGGGTGGGGAAGGAGAAGGGTGGTGGCCATTTCCACACACAGCCTGTTGTGTGCTCAGCACGGCTGGATGTGGATCCCAAGCACTTGCTGGCTGACTCATGAAAGAGGACAGAAGCTGCTGAGGAGGGCAGCAGAGTTCAAAGAGCAGGCTCCAACCGGGGGCTGGGGTGATGGACACACAGCCTCCATTCCAGGGGGAAAAAGTCTCAGTCGATACTAATCAAAAAGTGTTAATGATTTTTGAAAATCAGATTACATCTATAAAAGATGAAAAGTAAACACTTAAAACAATCTATCGGAGGAACATAAAATAATAAAAAAATCAAATGCAGATGGGATTTCACAAAGAGGAGATTTGAATCTTTTGGTCTAAATCAGCCAATATTTTAACATTAACTATAAATTATTAAAATGTAGTTTGCTTATGCCTATTCTTAAAATGCAGAATCTTTGAAGAAAAATATAGGCATATTTTCAGGAATACAGACTCTTGTAAAAAATTTAAAAAGTCAGTATCATCTCTCTTGCGGAGCTACTAGAAAAGGTTTTTCAAACACAAAAGGGGAACAAACGTGGGGTGCTTGGACATGTTAAGAATTCTTATCACTAGAATACTGCTTCGAGGCGCTCACAGTACTTTCCAAAAGAAGCCACCCACCTCAAAGAGCCCTGCGCAGCCCCAGCGACCCACGAGTGTGGTAGCCGTCATTTTATTAGCCACTGCTTGGCCATCATCAAAGTATTCACTCAGAGTGGGGAAATTACTTAATCTGAACGATATTAACGATTTCCATGTATTTAGCTTTGTGACACACAATGCACAAGGGTCTTCAAATGTTTGTTTTTTACACCAGTGGTGGCAGGAAATTGTCATTCTTCCGATTCAACACCAGTACTGGTGGATGACGCTTTAGTGAAGTGTGACTACCTAGAGGAGCAGGAAGGCGGCTCCTGATTCTCACCGGGCCAGCCTCTTCCAGAAGTGCAGGCTACTCTTCTGACAGGAGATCACGACCCTGGCAGGCCGGGCAAGTGCTCTGCCCTTTAAGCCACTGCTTAAAGCACTGAAAAGGAGAAAACAAAATCAGAAGATGCCTTCAAGACCACGAGGAAGCCTAGCTCCCCTGTGCTGCTGGGCTCCTTGGCAGGCGTGGCTCACTTGCCCTTGGTCTCTTGGGCCTGGAGCTGCCCAATACTCAGGGACACCAATGCCCGCTCCGGCCAAAGTGTGGACGAAGCCCCAGCTGCAAACCATCCCACCTCAGGGTCAGATCCTGAGCGCCGGGCCTCCAACCTGGCCTCAGGGGGTGGCCTTGCCCTAAGCCCCGGTTCCAGTCTCGGCTCTTCCACTTCAGCTGCGCCAAATTCCAGAGCCTGGCATTCTCGGCCCTATGACCCAATCACTCATTCTTAGCCCATCCCGGCCTGGCCTTGGCCCTTGGCTCTGGAACAGCCCTCCAGCTCGCATGCCATACTCCTGCTGCTGCTGCCCACACTGCAGAGGCTGTGGACAGTCAGCCGGCCCAGACATAAGACCCTGTACCCAAAGGAGGCACACCACACCAAAGAGACTCGGCAAGTGGTCTCAACTCCTTTCAGTGAGAATGCTGTATTGATCCCGTTCCAAGGGATTAGTAAATCCCCATGGCAGAGACCTGATCTGTTCTAACCCAGCAGCAGGGGTGCACACAAATACTCACGGTACCTAGAACACCATGATAGTTCACACACAGATCCCAGAATGGTACGAGCAGGACTGTCCCCAGGTCAGGCAGAAGGGACACAGCTAGGTTTAGTTTTTCTCCTCTAAAATGTTAAATTGACTTTATATACTACACTGAATCAAAAAAATGGTTTCACTGTTTCTCCATTTAGTCAGGTGTGTAAGAAATCACCTTTCAAGGAACCAATACTGCTTTGAATCTCAGCAACAACAAGTGGCTGGAGCTGCCGTTCCCCTCTCCCCACACGGGATGGGAAGGACAGTCTGCGGAGCTGCCCCTCCGGCAGCGCTAGTGTGTGGACAGGGAGGCACTGAACAATGACATGGGAGGTTTGCAAAGAAAATGGTTTGACAGCACAATAAACACTGATGACTAGAAAACAATTCCTTTCTTGTTTTGAAAATAATTGATGGTCCCAATGCATGCTGTAAGTTTGGCCAAAAAGAGCTCTTACCCCTTTGTGGTACTTGTGCCCACATTTGAGCACACACACGTTTTTTGATTTGAACACCTCGTGGCATATTTCACAGGAACTTGCACCCGGTGCCTGTGGAAACAAACACACCTGAATAATAAAGAATAACGACAGCTGTTTTTATGACAAGAGTTCTTCCTTCAAACATCTTCTGCCACAAAGGGTGGCAAATTATTCACAATTACAGCTAAACAGTCTGAGGAAACAACTTATTTTTTAGTAGCATTTCTTAAGAAAAAATATAAAAATACAAAAAGAAAAGTATACTTTTAAAGCTCTAATTGCCTCAGAGAAAAAACTGTTTTATGTGGCTAAAAGATTCCCAGGTGAAGATTACCATACTTAAAGTACAGTATGGGATAATCACATGGCATGGTGTGAATTAATCATTCATCTAATCATCTAACAGTTGAGGGTGGTAAATTTCAACACATCCACACAATGGGCTATTGTGTAGCCAAAAGGGAAATCATGACGGAAGCCCATAATCCCTGACATAGAAAGCTGGCCCCAAAAGCCTGCTGAATGAAAGCAGCTAGCAAGACAGCATGTATCATATATAACTCACTTTTTAATAAAGAGGCTGCATGTATACATACATGCCTAGACAAAGCTAACAGTGGTTGCCTCAGGGTAAGGGAGATTTAATCTTTTTCTTTACTATTTCCTAGTTTCTATGAGCATGGATTACTTGTGCAAATCAAAACAAACGGATGGCTCATCCGGCAAACATCCATGGGCAGGGACGGTGTGGGGTGCTGGACGCAGAGATGAATGGAGGGCTCCGGCCTCAGCAGCTCACAGTCTGGTGAGCACAGACAGTGCTTTCGATGTGAGAGCAGACCGGAGTGTCGCCTGGGACTCCAGGCACAGTTCTTACAGCACTTACCCTATACTGCATCATTAACTTCTATTCTAGCTCACTGCCTCTTAACTCTGAGCACCTTGAAGGCACAAAATGAGTCCCATCTGGGTCCTTAGCAGGTGGTGGAAAACCTAGCCCAAACTCATGCTCTGAAAACCCCTGCTGAGGGAGCGGGCGAATGTGGGCAGCCCCGGCAGTGGGATCAAGTTCAGGGAGTAGTACTGGGCGCACCACCCGAGGACTGAAAAGACCTTGAACTGCTGTCCAGGGTTTTGCTGTCTCTGCCAAGGCATGACGTGGCCCAGGAGGAGATGCGACAGATGCTGCAGAAGGAGGGTTCACGCCCCTCCACTGCTGCCCATGACTCGAGGATCAGGGAAGAAGAGGAAGTGCCAGACCGGGGAAGAGCCAGTGAAGGCCTCTCCAATGCCCAGTGCAAAGCTCGGAGCCAGGTTTAGTTTGAAAAAAACATACATTTAACTTGACAGTGTTCTGTTTCCTAGAAAAGATGGGCACAGTATACTTCTAAGTAAAAGAAAAAAAGGACAACCACAATTAAAAAAAAATGGAAAACCACCAAAAAATCCAGCCCCTCAGAGAACAAGGTATGACTAGCATATTCAGTTTTGACTAATTCACATATAAATGTTCAAGAGTTTAGAAAAATATATACCAAAGTGGTAATACTGATTACGGGGTGGGTTTTTAAATGCCCTTTTTATTTGTATTTTCTATTGTGAGTATGTAATACTTTGTAATTTAAAAATTAATACTTTTAACAAACTATGGTTATCAAATTAGGTCCCAGCTTGAATACATTTTTTCTTTCTCACACACTCTGGTGAAGTTTCAGTAAGTCAGCTTTTATATCTTCATTACTACAAACATCCATCATGAAGCAAAAAGGGAACTCTTCTCCAGGAGATCACGGTCTACCTTGGGGTGGTGTGGCCACACAACACATTGACTTGTGCGCATGCACACCCACACGTGTGACTGGGAATTCTGCCTGGGTGAAGAACCACAGTGCACGTGACCCATCAGGGAAATCCCCGGGAGAGGAGGGACTCTAGCCAGGTCTTGCAGGAATGCCCTACATGCTCAGAAGCTCCCTCACTTGGGTGTGGGTGCGGCCGAGACCCTCTGGAGCTGAGTGTATGCGGTGTGGAAAGTTTCCAAAGGGTAGTGGAAAGTGAAAACGTATGGGAGGAATAAAAACCTAAGTTTACAAAAGACTCAATGCCAACTCAAGTTAGCAAACCAGTACTCTCTGTGCAATCTCCTACCGCTGGCTCCCTGCTGAGAAGATTATGGGGCCTGTAACTCTCCTCCTGTGGATGTTGGTTATACTCTGACACCAGAGATGGACAAAAAGAAAAATTCTGGTGTCTGCTTGACACCAGAATTCCATCCAGAGCCCCCGGCCCCGAGCCACACAAGTGAGGGGCCCTCTTGCAGCCACCCCTGAGGTCCCTACTGCATGGTTCCAACATCAGCCAGTCCCAGCGGTGAGGATGAGAGAATTACACAGGGCACACACAAGTCGAAAGGCCCACTCTGAGCTACCTCCAGTCTTCAAGCAGTCAAGTGAACGCTGGCAAGCTATGTGAGCGCTCTGTGCCTCAATTTCCTTATTATAAGTTAAAATAATTATATTGCCTTATCAATTCAGATCATAGACATTATAGTATTTTATGAAATGTTCTATGTAAATGTAAACATTCTTACTGTGTAAAAGGAAAATAACTTAAATCACTACACAGAATTACAGGCAAGTGTAGCCCATTCCAGTGTCCCTTCTCAGGCACTACAGGAAGAAGCCAAGGACAGCAAGTAGGCTCTCTGGAGCACACAGCTGACCCAGTCATCCTAGAGCAGCATTTGATCCAGGCCACAGCCTGGGCAAGCAGCGGGACGTGGGCTCATTGCTAATAAGTGATGGAACCGATCTGTGCAATTCCAAAGCCATGGTTACACAGAAGAAAATTATTCAAAAATTATTTCCCCAACTGTTCAAAATACCACACTGGATGTACAAAGTTCATGTATTTGACCATCTGCAGCAAAACAAGAGCAAGAGAGAGAGAGAACCCAGATCCCCCAAAGTGGTCAGAACCCTTGTCACTCATGTGCAGCAGCTTCTCTCCATGCTGGGCACCCAAGGTGTCAGTCAGAGCAGAGACCATGACCTCGGCCATTCAGTGATTGCTCTAACTGGACACATTCAAGTACACTGAAATTCAGTTTCTAATGTTAGGATCAAATTAATTAGGTCTAGAAATGAATGGGGCTAAATCATGGATTAAAAATTGTTTGCTTCTTGTTTTTCATTAAAAAACAAAACTATACAGTTATACATACAGCCCTCACAGGGACATCTTCTGCCTTCTGCCCCTTGGTTTTGGGTGATGGTGCAACAACCGCCGAGGGTGGGCCCTGGGAGGACCTGGCCACGGGGGCGGCAGAGCTGGGCTCATAAGTCCTCTTGTCCTTTCCTGGGTTTGGCTGCGAAGATAACAGGGGTGTGGGGCAGGGCGGGGAGACAAGAGGGAAGCAAAGTTCAGTTATCCAACAACTTGACCATCTTCTGTCTTTAGTACATTGCTCTCTAGGTTTTGGTTTGAAGCTTTTTTTTTTTTTTTTTAAACATTTCTCATATTTTATAAATAAAGAAGGATGAAGTGGAACATCTGGATAAAATACCTTTTTCTTTTTCTGTCCGTCTAAAATGTGTTCTGTCACTCTTTGGACAATTTCATCAATACTCAATCCTGAGAGTGAGTTCTTGTTTTTGCTTCGCACTTTTTTAATAAAACCAGCAAGCTCGGTGCTGAAAGGGAGAGTTAGTGTTAAGTGACAACAGAAAGTTCCCTACTGCTAAGCAATATTACATGCCAATATTAATCCAACAGCCCAACCCAAAGACACAAAGACAAATGCACACAAAATTAATTTGAAGACCACTAATAACAACCATAACTGTATCTAAAAAGCAGAGCTTTTTTTTTTTTTTTTTTGAGACACAGTCTCACTCTGTCACCCAGGCTAGAGTGCAGTGGCACAATCCCTGCTCACCGCAACCTACGTCTCTTGGGTTCAAGCGAGTTTTGTATTTTTTTTTTTTTAAAGAAAAGATGGGGTTTCACCATGTTGGCCAGGCTGGTCCCGAACTCCCGACCTCAGGTGATCCACCTGCCTCGGCCTGGCGTGAGCCACCTCGCCTGCTGGCTAATCATATTTTAACTGCTCCACTGTTTACAAATTTCAGTTCTGAAGCTTCTAATTAACACTGTCTCAGAAACTGAAATAATAGGGCAGATGCCAAAGGTCATTCCTGAGCGTAGAGTCCTTTGTTCCGAGCTGCACTTCAGAGACACTGCCTCTGTGTCATCATCTCTCACAGCTGAGACAAGCGGCAACTCTGCCCCCTCTTGCACCAACCTGAACAGCAGAAACCAGAGGTGGAGGCAGAAGTGCTACTGAAGAGCCTGCCGTCATCCCAACCCTATTTACAGCTCTTGCTCACTCAGTTAAGGGCAGCTTTTTCCCACATTCACAAGGACCCCTTGTTAACATGTCCACATGCCCCATTCACTGTGGAATTCCGTCCAGTCTTCAACCTCACACTCTAACAAATCAGAGGTCTTATGTGACAGGGTATAAGTTGCTGCTGCCTTCTTTGCTAAATGTAATTTTGTCCCCCCAAATGATGCAAAATTATTGTTTTGCAGTTCATTTATTGATTCTATAACACTAGTTTTAGACAATGCTATTGGTCTCATCAAAATCTTAGCAAATTGTCATGGGTTCTGATGAGTGTTAATTACCCAGTGGTTAATGTTTTCTTTTCTTTTTTTTTTTTTTTTGAGACGGAGTCTCGCTCTGTCGCCCAGGCTGGAGTGCAGTGGCCTTTTTTTTTTTTTTTCAGGAAGCTCCGCCTTCCAGGTTCACGCCATTCTCCTGCCTCAGCCTCCCGAGTAGCTGGGACTACAGGCGCCCGCCACCATGCCCGGCTAGTTTTTTGTATTTTTTAGTAGAGACGGGGTTTCACCGTGTTAGCCAGGATGGTCTCGATCTCCTGACCTCGTGATCCGCCCGTCTCGGCCTCCCAAAGTGCTGGGATTACAGGCTTGAGCCACCGCGCCCGGCTGGTTAATGTTTTCAATTTACATATGCACATTAAAAAATTTATTTGAGGCTGGGTGTGGTATCTCATGCCTGTAACCCCAGCACTTTGGGAGGCCAAGGCAGGTGAATCACTTGAGGTCAGGAATTTGAGACCAGCCTGGCCAACATGGTAAAACCCCACCTGTACTAAAAATATAAAAATTAGTCAGGCTCAGTGGTGCATGCCTATAATCCCGCCTTCTCAGGAGGCTGAGGCAGGAGAATCACTTGAACCTGTCAGGGAGAGGTTGCAGGGAGCCGAGATCATGCCATAGCACTCCAGCCTAGGCGACAGAGTGAGACTCTGTCTCAAAAAAAAAAAAAAAACAAAAAAACCCCACCAATTTATTTGAAAATACTTATCTCTATAAAAAAAAAAAAAAAAAAAAAAAAAACCTGTCTTTCTGAGCAAAACAATTATGCAACCCTTTTCATGTTAACACCTAATTGATTTTATCTGATCAGGAAACCTCAGTTCAATAAAGTACTGAACACAGTGACAGACATTTTCTGTTCCTACCTGTTGTAACACGGGAATACCACTGACAGGTGCTCAATAATACTATTGAACGGCTTTTTTGGAGACTGACTTGAACGCGCAGCACGTCCTGGAAGAACAGGCTGCTTCCGATCAGCCACAGGGCTTCGTTCTGGCAGAGCTGCCCTTTTTGGCCCTGGCAGCTGAGCGGCTTCAGGCTGACCAGGGGGTGGCCCTGGCAACAGCGCAGAAGGAGCCTCCCCTGGGGAATCGCCGTCAGAGAACACACTGGGATCCCTGTGAAGTGCTGCGTGGTTTCCAGTCATGTCGCTTGCAGAAGTCACAAGCCCTTGGTCATCGTGGCCTGAAGACTCAGGGAGTAACTCGGGATGAACCTGTGAGGAACACACCACACCAGGATTACTTAGGGTTTCCCTTGAATTAAGAGGATGAAACACCCAAGGGCAAAGGTCGATGAATAAATACAGTAATGCAGCCCAGTGGCTCCGTGCACAGGAAACCTGATACCATGAATTAAATATTTTCGTTTTAAAAGAATTCTTGATAATAACTTGTTAGTTATTAGAACAAGAGTAGGAGGGTTCAGACTTCTAAATAATTATCTCTGTAAGTCACTGTTTTCTCTGTAAGATGAGACCATTTCGCCTGCCTACTGGCCCTCCTTCAGCCTCTACCTGGTTACACTTCTCCCCTTCCGAGCTAAACCCTGTAGCTGACAGATGCAACATCACGGCCACCACACTCCCCAGAGCTGTCTCCATCCCAGCAGGCTGCCTCCTCTTCCCTGCCCTCTCTCTTGGCAGCTCTCAGGCCTTCGTCCACGCCTGCAGTGCTGACGCTCCTCCCCATGCAGCTGCCTGAGGCCAAATCTTTTTAAAAGTGTGCAGTCTAGAATATTAAGTTTGCAGTCTAGAATATTTTCCTGAGATCCAAATCTGCAAATCCACTTGGGTGATTCCAAGACAACTCAAAGTCAATGTGTTGGAAACCAGCCTCAGGCAGCCTCCCCAGTCCTGCTCTTCCCCTAGTACTCCAGGATGGAAGCCCAAGACTCACCCTCGACTTCCACATGGACACACGGGGCCTAGTCTCCTGAGCAGCATGGCGCCTGTAAATGTACCCCTAATCACCTCTCACATCTGTTCTCTTCCCTCCACCCCCACTGCCACGCCCCATCCAGGACAGGATGATGGCAATAAGCTGATAATCGAACAACTGGAAATCACTCAAGCCCCTCCCCAACACTCCCCCACATTAGTGGCAAGCTCATCTTCAAAAAGCACAGTAGCTCCCTGTAATCCTCAGGGATACATTCTGAGACCCCCAGTGAATGCTTGAGGTCACAAAGAGTACTGAACCCTATGTATACTATGCACGCATTTCTTTTTCCTTCTTCACAATTTCATGGGTAGATTTGTTCTGACCGTAGATCTTAGCAACCTTAGGATACGATCTTTTCTCTTTCCTTATTAGTTTGAGAACTTTCAGCTTTTCACTTAAAGGAAGCACTATATTGCTTCTCTATGGCATATCTGAATGACCAGCATCATTACTCCCATGCTTTGGGGCCATTATGAAGTAAAATAGGGGTGACTTGGACACAGGCACTGGGGTAACGTGAGAAGTTCATCTGGTCACCAAATCAGCTTCTAAGTCGCTCACGGCAGGGAGTAGCAACAGCATGAAAACACTGGACAAAGGGAGGAGGCACGTCCCTGGTGTGACCATGTGAGAATCCAGATTTCATCATGCTACTCAAAACAGTGCGCAATTTGAAACTTACAAAGTACGTATTTCTGGAATTTTCCATTGAGTATTTTCTAACTGCGGTTGACTGCAGATAACTGAAATCACGGAAAGCAAAGCCATGAAGGAGGGACTCCTGTTCTGCTGCTGTTCCCTCATTTGAGACCTATCCTGTCTGGTCTAATGAAGCTAGAAGTGTCCAAACTGCTGTAACACAGCTTATAGAAGAAGGCTCCCCTGGCTCTGCCCCTGCGTCATACTGGGCTTCTATTACAGCATGAAAGGAGTGTATTCTCTCTCTCTCTAGGCTCCAGGTGCACTGCGTGTTCCATCTGGAACTCTGACCGTCCAAACACACCCCTCCCACTCCTTTGTCTGGTAAGTTCCTACTGCAGATCTCTGTCTCTGAGAGACTTCCAACTGGGAATCTTCCACTGAGGCCACACCTCTAGATTAGGTTAGTGGCCCCTAATTCACGCTGCTCCAGCATTCTGCCATGGGAAACCTCACTCTGCTGCAGGTAATGATGGGTTTAAAGTCTGTCTTTCCCCAAGTCCATGTGCACTTTGAGGGCACAGCCCACAATCTTTATCACCACTAATTACCCAATGAATGAATGAGGGAGAAATGAGATACACAAATAATTTTTAGGCACATTTATTACTAAAGCTCCTGGCACAATAAGAGCTCCCAGAATTTGGGATATGAAAATTCTTTTGAGTATTTATAAAATAACATAAGCTAGGATTACAAACTAATAGTAAAACATCCTATTGAGAGCCAACGTTTTCTCTATATATATCAGTTGTTATACAAACTTAGAAAAACGATAAATGGTAAGTGCCCTTTAGTGTAATTCTAACTAAAACTGCACATTCAATGGAGAGAAAAAAACTGGATCTCAACAGAATATTTCACTCAGTTCAGGGTGGTCATACTTTTTCCAAAAAAAATTTTTTTTTTTTTTTTTTTCAGATGAATTCACAGTAAGTTTGGATGTTTACTGTGCAAGGTACTGGCGGGAAAGAGACATTTAAGGCCAGGCTGAGATCTAATGCACATGAGAGAAGGGCCACAGTGGGAGGCCAAAAGAGGGCAGCCCCTGATGGGGTTTCAGGGGAAGGCAGGATGCAGAGCGGGGACGGTGTTCCAGGCTGGGAACAGCCCAGGCAAAGATCTGGCAATAGTGAGAGGGTGCAAGTCAGTACTGGGAGAGAGTCTCCTCTGTCTTTAGGAACTAGAAGATTTCACTGTCCTGTCACAACATTCTGGAACTTGTATCTTTCAACTCTCACATATAGTCCTCCTTTAATTTTGTTTTTCTTTTTTACCTAAGTTTTCTCACAAGATCTAACTTTAAATTCCTATGGGTTGATCTCCTCTGGGCCTAATTCATTTCAATTTAGTATTTACTAAGCATCTATCTGTGTCCAAATCTAAGAAATGTGGGTTTAGCCATATTGTAAAGTCCACAAAATACAATTAATGCTTTTCTTTTCTGTGCTGTGCATATTAAAATAAAAAGACAAGATTATTCACTGTTATTCACAAGATTTGGCAGATACCTCAAACAAGTAGTAAAATATGATGTGCCAGACCAACAAAGCCCTGTATGTCTCAGGCATAGCAGCTTTTATTCTGTATTTGAGGAGGAAACCTCTTAATTTTTAGATTTTGGTCTTATGTCCCAAATATCTAGGAATAAGATATTCCTGAGGTGGTGATAGGGTCCTGCTTGAATCACAGGCACCTGCTACTCCTGGATTATTCATTCAAAGTCAAGAATACATATATAACACACACACACACAAAAGATAGAAGACAGGCCAAGGTACAGAAGAGCGATAGAAATGCAGCAATGGTGTATTCACCTCAGTCTATTCCTCATACAGATGCAGAAAGACTGATCTATTTTATATAAGAATGTTATAAAGCTTAAAAGGTTCATCAGTAGCACCAATAATGAAACATTAAGGCAATTATTAACCAATCTCATCCTCACTCCCAGGGAACAACAACAAATAACTACTTTGGCTAGTTAACAAATGAATTATGGTTTTTTTTTTTTTTTTTTTTTAAAAAGATGTGCTAGACTTACCGTGTTACAGGCAGGAAGTGAAAGCTCGGAAATCTGCACTTTAGAAAGTTCACTGAGACGAGAACCATTTTTAATTGCCTTAATTTGTTCTTCAAACTGAGACTGTGAGTAGAAAGTAAAGTGTGGGAAAACCACAATTGTCAATTAATACTTTGTTTCTTCCTATACATTATAAATGAAACATAACTGTCTTGTAAGGAAATTCAAAATAAGACCTCATTAATCCAAATGCTCCAAAGCCTTTTCAAACATAACTCCTCTAATCTTACCAATCAAGGCAGAGGTCAAGATGGTTAATTAAGACAATACAATTACTTTCGGCCGGGCATGGTGGCTCACGCCTGTAATCCCAGCACTTTGGGAGGCCGAGGCCGGCAGATCACCTGAGGTCAGGAGTTGGAGACCAGCCTGACCAACATGGAGAAACCCTGTCTCTACTAAAAAACAAAATTAGCCAGGCATGGTGGCACATGCCTGTAATCCCAGCTACTTCAGGGGCTGAGGCAGGAGAATCACTTGAACCTGGGAAGTGGAGGTTGAAGTGAGCCAAGATCACACCATGGCACTCCAGCCTGGGCAACAAGAGTGAAACTCCGTCTCAAAACAAATTATAAAAAATAACAAAACCATTGCTTCCATGAAAAGCTCATAATACTTTCAACAAAAAAATATTATTGACAATAATAGATAAAAAAGAAATAGTTTCAATATGACACTAGCCTCCTGAGAATTATAACTATCATAAAGATTTTGATGGGATTAAAAGATGTTTTTTACAACTTACCTTTGCTTTCTCAATTTCTTTTGTAACATTAGAAAGAAACAGTTCCCATGAACATATATCAGACTCCATGTCAGGATATGCTGCAGGATCACTGAAAAAGTATAATATAAAACTGCTTTAGAAATCTAAAAAATTAAAAGCGCTTACGGCCAAATAAACATCTAAACATGAGAGAAAGATACATTTAACATGATCACATACACACAAAAAAAACCAACTATTTTTAAAGATTGCTTATCTTGTAAATTTGCCACTAGAGACACTTTAGAAAATTTTAATTATTAATATAACAAAAACTCTAAAATTGAAGGGCAGAGGGAAAGTAAGTCTCCTGAATTTTAAGTTCTTTTCCCAAATTTAAAAGTTTGACCACTCTTCATTTAACATCTTTACGTTTAATATTAAAGCCAGCGTCTGCATTTAAAGATTTTTTAAAAAGGTAGTCTGAAACATTCAAAAGATTCCAATCAAACCCTAATCATTACCTTACTATGAAAATAAAGGATGGGCCTAAGATAAATTTATCATCTTAGCACCTCATGAATCTGGTCTATTGAAAGTGACAGATAAATTGACTACCCCTAATTGAGAAGATCAAAAACACTACCAATCTGTGGGTACAGTAAGACCTCATTATACATCTTGAAGAAAAACCAGAGCATTCTTTTTGAGACGGAGTCATGCACTGTTGCCAGGCTGGAGTGCAGTGGCTCCACCTCCTGCGTTCACGCCATTCTCCTGCCTCAGCCTCCCGAGTAGCTGGGACTACAGGCGCAAGCCACCATGCCCAGTTAAATTTTTTGTACTTTTAGTACAGACGGGGTTTCACTGTGTTAGCCAGGATGGTCTTGATCTCCTGACCTCGTGATCCGCCCGCCTCGGCCTCCCAAAGTGCTGGGATTACAGGCATGAGCCACCGCACCTGGCCTCTTTTTACCCCTTTTCTATGTTTCTATACTTTGGTGGAGGAGGCAGAGTTAGCATGGCATCCTGAAGAAAGAATCTTTGTATATTCTATGGTTTATTGGAAGAGTTGATACTATTAGATGAAATGAGTCTGAGATTATCTTTGTTTCCCAGATGAGCTGCAATGCAGCCTATGGCAGGTGCTTAGTACAGGTGGTTGACCACCACTTGGTCTCAACCTCAGCTGTACTAGTCCTGTATTCTAAATCAGCATATTAGTTTACTTTTAATCAGAAAGGTTTTCTAATGAAAAACATTAAATCTTGAAAATGAAGAAGGGGCCGGGCGTGGTGGTTCACACCTGTAATCCCAGCACTTTGGGAGGCCTAGGCAGGCGCATCACCAGCTCAGGAGTCAGAGACCAGCCTGGCCAACATGGTGAAACCCTGTCTCTACTAAAAATACAAAAATCAGCCTGGTGTGCAGTGGACGCCTATAATCCCAGCTACTCAGGAGGCAGGAAAATCACTTGAACCCAGGAGGTAGAGGTTGCAGTGAGCCAAGATCATGCCACTGCACTCCAGCCTGCGTGACAGAGCAAGACTCCAACAAAAAAGAAAGAAAGAAAGAAAGAGGAAATAAGAAAATGAAGAAGAAGAACTATACACTAAAACTGTTTGTCCGTGATTCACACAATCTCTGGTTCAATGCTGAGGGTTTGAAATTTGAATCAAAAGGCAAGCACCAGGAAGGATCAAAATCCTGGGATTAAAAATGCAAAACCTGTGTATAGAACATGATAAAAGGACTCAATGAAAAGTAATCCCACATAGAGAAGTGCTAAGTATTAGAAGAAGATCCTCTAGAAATCCAAGGCAAGCCTTATCTTAGAAACAAACAAGGCCAGCCCAGCGCAGTGGCTCATGCCTGTAATCCCAGCATTTTGGGAGGCTGAGGTGGGCGGATCACGAGGTCAGGGGATCGAGACCCATCCTGGCTAACATGGTGAAACCCTGTCTCTACTAAAAATACAAAAAATTAGCCAGGAGTGGTGGCAGGCGCCTGTAGTCTCAGCTAATTGGGAGGCTGAGGCAGGAGAATGGCGTGAACCCGGGAGGCGGAGCTTGCAGTGAGCCAAGATCGCGCCACTGCACTCCAGCCTGGGTGACAGAGCGAGACTCCGTCTCAAACAAACAAACAAACAAAAAGAGGTAGAGATTATGTGGAGAGTTGAAAAAAATTTAACATGTGTGAATATACTTTGTAGTAACATTCTCACATGCTGTCATGTAGACTGTTAAGTAATAGTTATTAGGAAAGCAACTTGGCAAAAAATTTTAAAAGACTTGAAAATGTGATCTTCATTCCAAAATTTTACTGCATGGAGATGACTAATAATGTGCATAAAGATTTAACTATAAGGATGCTCACTGCAGGGTGGCTTATATTAACACAAATTCACAAACAACTTCACTGTCCCAGCACAGCAGTGTTTGATAAATCATGACATGTTTCTATGCTCGAACACTACCCAACCTTTCAAAATTAGGTTGGAGAAATGTAATTACCAATATGAAAATAAATTTCCTATATACTATTTAGTAAAAATAATTCACAAATTTTCATTTTTTCAAACACTTCATGTATTCCAAAATAGAAATGCTATATCGCCATTTAGAATTATGAGTGATTTTTATCATTTTTGTTTGTATGTCTTAACTTTTCTACAATTGAACATGTATCAATTATATAACTATTAAAAATAAAACGGTCCTAATACAAAATAATGTTTCTCTCAAATGGTCCTAGCTTTATCTTCTAAATGACGTGCTAAGAACACCCACGAAACTGCATTACCAGCTAATCAGCTCCAGCTTCTTCAGATAGGCTTCTGCTTGTGACTCCATGATCTGTAGCTTATACACTTCACTCTCCTTCCAGTTTTCAAGTACGGATACCTGCCAGTAGATTAGAGGACATACAAGTATTTTACAAGTGACAGCCTGAACTATTTTAAAGGTTAAAATGTTTTAAAGGTTAAAACATTCCAAGCCACTTTCCCATTTCTCCTTAAATGAAGCATGATGACAGAATAACCAGAACTTGATTATATCATAGGTGAACATGAATTAGACTTGAGATTTGAAAACAGAGTAACAAAATGACATTACAAATGCATACCTGCCATGATTCTTTTTGCAGATATGAATAACTGTACATGGTTTTCTGCTTAAGCTATATATAAGCACAGAGCCAGGTTAACTGCATGTGCACACCAGTGTGCATTACCTATGGTCCTGCAGCAGAATGACCCTTAATAAAGGCTGCATCCTCTGCAATAGAAAAGCCTCAGAGAAGCTGTTCTCAGCAAGGGCATCAAAGGCCTTTGGGGTATGCTTTTAAGATTTTAGGCTCTCTGTGGCTTCCCCACAAGCCAACTGGCCATTTTTGTGAGAATCACTGCAGGAAATGTAGAATGGTCTTGTGGTCCAAATGATCCATCAAATAGCCTTTTAATCCAGGTGTCAGTAAACTTGACAGAGCCCACCAGGCAAACCTGCTTACCAAATGGTGGTGTGAATTAAACAAGCTCAGGAGTACGGATGCAGGTGTAGGACCCACAGAGTATTCATACTTTGGCTCTTTTTCCTTCCCTCTCCTTAGAAGCAGGTGCATAGTCAATTCTTAATTGAAAAGCCTAATGTTTGCAGACTGTATAAACTAAGCCTTTTCTTATTTTACCTGAATAATCACAGACACATATGCCAATAAATATCATTTGTTTCTCAGCTAGAGAAACACAGAGAATCATGTTTCAGGCACTAAATAAAATACAGTCAGATGTCATTATTCTGATTTTCATCTCAGTAGTTTCTCAAACAGTGTACTGACATTGCTATATATTCTTCTAGGGGCGGGAGGAGTGTATTCCTAATACGTGGATTATTTTCAAGTTCCTTTCCAAGTATTGGCAAATATAGTTGGCTACTTCATGGTACATCACTTGATTACATATGATGAAAGTATTCGAAGTGTATAATATAGGAAATGACTGAATTATAATGGTAAATAAGGACAGCAGGTTACAAAATTTGGTGTACACTATGAGTGCATTTAAGTAACAACACAAGCATACCGGTAAAACATTACAAGGCTATAGGCAAGGAAAAAGAGTGGTCGTTTTAGGGAGGATATACTGTGGGTGACAGGATATCCTTTATGCACCACACTTTTCAGTAATGTCTCTTATGCCTCATTTGTCATTAAAGAAACACAAAAACAAATGACAAATGCCATAGTGGTCACTAAGTGTCATGGACTCACCTCTGCAGCCACAGCTCTCTGATGACTCTCTTCATAATCCTCTTTTCCTTTCTTTATACACTCTTCTATTTTCATTTTCTCATTTGTAAGTGTGTTGCTACAAATATTGAAGGGAAAAAAAAACCTTCTTGAACAAAATTTCACAGTGAGATGACAAAGGCTTCAGGCTGGATGAACTTTGAAACTGCACCACCATAGCCTCAGCTACATCTTCCAGAGCAGTTTCTCATCTCATATTTTACTATGCAACACACAGACTCAAATGTGCTCTTTGTGCTTTACAAGTGATCAAAGGCAGATATGAAATGGAAGTGCACATTAGGTGGGCATGCTAAGAATTGGGTGAGGGCACTGTTCCAGTTCACCATTTTATGAGGGTAGGTGGAGTACAATCTGGTGACATTAATAAACTATACAGGCCGGGCACAGTGGCTTAGGCCTGTAATTCCAGAACTTTGGGAGGCCAAGGCAGGTGGATCGCTTGGGCCCAGGAGTTCAAGACCAGCCTAGGCAGCATGGCAAAACCCTGTATCTACAAAAAATACAATGGTGGTGCGTGCCTATAGTCCCAGCTACTCGGGAGGCTGAGGCGAGAGAACTGTTTGAGCTGGGAGATGGAGTCTGCAGTGAGCCATGACCACGCTACTGCACTCCAGCCTGGGTGACAGAGCAAGACCCCGTCTCAAAAAATAAATAAATAAATACATTTTAAAAATAAGCTTTATAAAACATTCCCTATCCTTTGAGCCAGAAATTGTTTTGACACATATTACAAGGACAGAACCCAAAGGGAAAAAGAAATCTGTACAAAATTATTCAAAAAAGGATAGAAATGTGTATATGAAACAATACTCAGTGAGAAAAGCAGAATACAACTGCTTATCATTGAACATACGGTTACCAGTATGTGAAACCATATTATTTCCATTAGCAAGCAAGGGTTAAAGGGAAACTTTGCATAGAGTCATAATAAAAATTTAATGAACCTATAATTATAGAGCAGTAAGAGCAACAAACTACCAGCCTACAGTGGAGACGAATATTCCAAGTAACACAAAAGAAAAGTTTTTAAAACATGTTTTTAGTTTCAAGTTAATCCAAAAAAAGTTATTGACATCAATAAATTCAGTATTTCTATATTGACAATGAGAAATAAATGCAGAAATCTTGTAAAATAAAAATATTTAAATATTCAAAGAATATTTATAATTTTTTAAATGCAATAGAAATAGAAATAAAGAAAATAGAAACATAATTATTTAAAAGAAATAGACAAGCAACAATATATTTCAAAGTCTACTGTGCTTGTACCCCGGCATTATACGTATTAAAATATATTAAAAATAAATTTAAGCTTAATTTGCCTGATTTCAAGGGACTGATCCAGATGTAATTCATGTTCCTTTTCCTTTCCATCATTTTTCTGGGTATACCTATAAAAGCATAATCATCAAATTTTAATTAGTTGAAAAAATTTTAACAGGACTCCCACACAGTAAATTCTGCCCCTATCCTTACAAACATTTCTTGATTTTGTAATATGTATTTTTTTACATCTTGTTTCCTTTTTAGTATCTTCTAAATAGGAAAATAATTTGAGGTTATTTTTTTTTTGGGAAATTTAGGAAAATAATTTGAGGTTATTTCCCTTTTGGGAAATTTTCCTTCCAGATCACCTTTTTCTTCACTCTAAGTCATATGCTTACAGGTAAATCACCCTATCTCAGTCTAAGATGTGCAGCTCAAGATGGTTTCAACAGGAGACAGAGAACACAGGTATTGTGGCATCATCATCAGTGTAACCAGTGATTCTTATTGAAAATGAGAAGATGTGGATTCTCATTCAAAATGAAAACAGACTTCTACTCTTTAAAACAGAACTTAAAAGTCAAAACAAGCATTCATACACACATGCGGGTGCACACACACAAACACACACACTGATAATCCTTCAAAACAAGTGTGTGAATCCCCGATTCTTGAGCCATGCCCTGCACAAGGCGGGTTCTGCCTCTTCTTTCATGCTACCGTGAGATACCTTTGCAGTCATCTGTTTACTAAAGCCGCTTGTTTCTAATACAAGCCAGTTTAACTATTATTTTACTTCTTTTGTAAAACACTTCCTCCCTCCTCTAAATAGACAAATACTGGGTAACACTCTCCTAGAAGCCCTGCCTTCTTTCATAGCCGCCTGTGGTTTGTGTCACTTTACCAATCACGAGCTCTATGTTCTAGTCATTTCTTAATGAATACTAAGTGTGATCAAGAGCACAGAAACATCCAAGAAATCGTTTTTCATGTCCTTTGTGCATCTCTGAGAAAGAGATCCAAAAAGTTTAAAGATGTTACTTAAAAATCTAAATAGAAAAATTGACCTTTAAAGCATTTATATGGAAAATGTAAAGCGCAGGCCAGGTGCAGTGGCTCATGCCTGTAATCCCAGCACTTTGGGAGGCCAAGACAGGTGGATCATCTGAGGTCAGGAGTTCGAGACTAGCCTGGTCAACATGGTGAAACCCCATCTCTACTTAAAAAAAAAAAATTAGTCAGGCATGGTGGTGAGCACCTGTAATCCCAGCTACTCGGGAGGCTGAGGCAGGAGAATTGCTTGAACACGGGAGGCAGAGGTTGCAGTGAGCTGAGACTGCACCACTGCACTCCAGGCTGGGTGACAAAAGCAAAACTCTGTCTCCAAAAAAAAAAAAAGCAAAAAACTTAGAGAGAAGCCTATGGTTTATCTTTAAATTGTGACAGGAAAAAAAAAAAAATCTATTAATAAAATGGAAAAAAGTCAACAATAAAAAGTTTATTCTTCAGCAGAAATTAACTTTTATGCAAGTACAGAAAAAAAAATTTTCTTCTTATCATTAACAGCCTCTAGTTACCTTGTCTGGTTTGACAGTAAAAAAAAATTGAACATAAAAAGTATGTTAAATATAAGTATTTCCACATTTTTTAGTAACAAAATGACCAAGACTGGTCAGGCTCAAATATTAGAGATAAAAACCTTTACAGACATTATCGTTTCCATAAGTGTGTTCTACTAGTGAAGCTACTTTGATCATCAACGTGACATGACACAGGGAGTGACAATTCTGAGGCAGTGCTTTACTCTTCCTCATCGTTTGAGGACTGCCTAAAAACTGCCTAAATGCAATGCTGGCAAGACTCGTAATGAAAGTCATCTGATCATATGGTATGCGGCATGGAAAAATACAAAAGCCTTTGAAAGGTGAGTGTGTAGCGTGGCCCCCCAGTGAACCTGGCCTCCCATTATTCATGCCCTTGAATCTGGACCAAGCCTATGACTTGTTTTAAGCAAATAAAAGGTAGCAGAGATGATGCTGTGACAGTTCTGGGCCTGAACCTTCAGGAGGCCTAGTGGCTTCCACTTCTGCACCATTTGAAGTCCTTAGCCACCACGTAAGAAGTCTGGCTATCATAATAGAGATCACATGGAAAGACCACATAAATCAAAATCACAGAGCGGCTACACAGAAAGTGAGACCAAGCCACCCCAGCATCCCAGCAGAGGCCAGCCCCAGTCATCACCCAGCTAAATTCAGCCACACGAGGACTCCTGGCAAGACCAGCAGAAGAATGGCCCAGCTGAACTCAGCCCAGATTGCAGGACCATGAGCAAATACAATGGCTGCTAACCAAGACACTGACTTTTGGGTGTTTTCTTACACAGTGGTAGAAAACAAGCTGAAGAATTTGACCTATCACTGTTTAGAGCAGAGGGAGTTAGGGACGGATCATAGAGAATCTTAAAACACACTTTTAGTCCACCTGACAATCATTCCTAGGATCCGTGCATCTTATCAAATTGTTCACACTACAAGACAAATTTTAATAATTTATAGATTCAGGATAAAAGTAATTATAAATAAAATAATCATCACAGAATCTTACTTTTGAAAGGAACCTTAGATTTTAGACCAGCCCCCATGTTTTGCTGATAAGAAAAAAGAGGGCCAGAGAAAGGGATGGTGTTCAAACCGGAAGGAAGTCAGTTCCTTGGGGATTCTCAGTTCCATGCTACTCTCACTTTTATATAATTTATCTGAAAAAATGTTAAGTTTAGGAAAAAATTGAGGTGAGATAATTACTCAATGAATATTTTTTAAAATGAGACAAACAATGAAAACAGTAGCTATTCATTTTTACTTTACTTGATATAGTTTAAAATTAAATATCAAAATGCAAAAATAACCAAAAGTCACAATTTTTTTAAAATAAAAATTAATGCCTTTCACTCATTACTTACAATTCACTGGCATTTGAAACTTTTTTAATTTTCTTCTTCAGTGATTTTAGTCTTTCTTGGATTTCTTTTTTTTCCTGCTTTTTTTTTTTAATTTCTCTTTCCAAATCTTGAAGGAACCAATCTAATTCCGTCTTTGAGATCTAAAAACATTTAGAAAGTACTTAAATAAATGGCAAAATATACTTTTTAACAAAAGAGACTGAAAGGCTAGAATTGTGACGGCGTCATAGCTTAAACAATGACTCAAGTTCAGTGGAACAGACACTCCCAAGCTGGTGCCCTGTGGCAGGCTATGCCCCCCAGCCAAGCCTGGGACATCAAGTCACACCAGACAGCCACATCCTACCCACTACGTGCACCTGATTACAGTAAGGCACCCTGAAGAACCACTCTGATGTGCCCAGAAGTATTCACACTTCACTCTCCAGCCTAAATGATTCTATAATCTACAAGGAGTCTGTACACATGTTTTAGTTGGCAAGGCCAATAGTTTTTGTTTGCTTTTATAAATATAAATGTAATCCTCTTGCTGGTCATTAAAGCATTTGGGTTGAGATACCTGCCAGAATTTCAGGCAGTGTGACAAAGAGAAATGGAAACCTCTTTGGAGTCAATGCTAGTTACCGTTTCCTTGGAGGGTTTGGTACAGCACCACTTGACACCCAACCCTCTTTGTCAACTTCTTATGTAGTTGCTGGTTTTGAAACTTCTGAATCTACACATTCTCTAAAGGTTTGATGTTTGTTTTGAAGTATCATCTATTCAATGGTAGCAAGGGGTTTGGGTGGGGCACATGCTTATAAATACCAGTCATTTATAAGTAAAACATTCCCTATGTTAATATTTCTAATAATTAATTTAAACGTGAATCAAAGCAATACCTAAAGGAAACAAATATTTTCTAGTTTAAAATCTCACTATTATCAATGACGGCTTAATGAAATCTTAACTTCACATTTGCTTTAGGGAAACTTTTAATTTTTTACTTCCTATCAGATTCCCTACAGCCTGAACTTCCTGCTTAGGCTTAGAGCACGCGTAGGTCACTGAGGAATACAGTTCAGCTATAGAAACTCTAGTTCTTCTCTGTCAAAAAGGACACTAAAGTCAACCTACATGGATTCCATAGGAAATCATGGCCTTCAGGCCAAAAGCTCTATCAATTTAAGAGGCCACTACTCCACTCCTTCTTCAGCCTTAGACACCAAGGTTTTCAATGTTTTTTAAAGGCAGATTTGCTAACCAGTCAAGGTCCTTTAAGATTTCTGAATCCTACAGCAGGGATAAGGTTGATTTTGGCACAGGACAACTGTTCTTACGTGGCAAAAACTGAACAACAGCTCAGTAACATTCCCTTTAACATGGGAACCAGTCCTTCCCACATCTTCTTAGCTGCAACCTTGTTGATCCTGAATTTCTTGAGTCATTGCTGTGACTGAGGTGACCACCATGCCTATTCTACTTAAGAATCCTGTGTTCCACCTGGTTCGGTTCTACCAGGACTAATGTGAATTTGCATGCCTTGCTGCTGGCAGCCAAGCCAATCTTGTTTCTCACCTAGCCTGTGCTCCTACTATTCTGAGCCAATGATCTCACCTGGGATCCATCCTTTTGGCTGGGAGATTATGTGCAACCACAAGGTTATGCTGAGGCATAAGAACCTAGTTGGCAACAAGTACCTAAGGGAGTTCAAGTATCAAGAAGCACAAAGTATTATAAACACACGCGCACATACACACGAATATAGCTCAGGCAGCGAAAATACTACATGAGTTCATCTTCTGTTTGTACTAACCACTGCTGAATGCCATAGCTGCCTCACAATGCTAAACAGGTTAGCTATCATGAGCTTGTTTCTGACTGCATGGAAGACAGAATGATCTCCTGAACCTTTTTCTTTCAAACTTAGCATAAAACAAACAAATAGGCTATATACAACTGTATCTGCTATATTACAGTTTATTGACATAACTATAAACACTTTCTTTTTCTCAATTAGAAAAAAACTTGTTTTCTTATCTTTTTTATTAAACCTCAGTTGTACAAGAGAGGCTCTGGAAGTGATGGCGGACAGAAGGGCCTCACGAAGAGGATGCTGCAGAAACGCCCCACGAGACCAGCACAGAGCCTGGCACTTAAAAGAACATTCAAGAAATATTTGTCACATGAAAGAATGGATAATATCCCCAAGTCCATACTAGCAGTAAATAAAGCAGCAAACTTCACAGAATGTGAGCCTGATGTCCTCTGATGTAGGCTGATAGAGAACATGGAAACACAACTCATTAAATGCAGCTTTTTAGGGGCCAAGCACACATTGTTTGATAAACATTTGCAAAGCTCCTAGTTTGTATACTGAGCTAGGTGCTATCAACCAAAGATAACTTTAAAAACCACCCTTCTGGCCGGGCGCGGTGGCTCAAGCCTGTAATCCCAGCACTTTGGGAGGCCGAGACGGGTGGATCACGGGGTCAGGAGATCGAGACCATCCTGGCTAACCCAGTGAAACCCCATCTCTACTAAGAAAATAAAAAAACTAGCCGGGCGAGGTGGCGGGCGCCTGTAGTCCCAGCTACTTGGGAGGCTGAGGCAGGAGAATGGCGTGAACCCGGGAGGCGGAGCTTGCAGTGAGCTGAGATCCAGCCACTGCACTCCAGCCTGGGTGACAGAGAGACTCCGTCTCAAAAAAAAAAAAAAACCACCCTTCTGGGCATGGTAGCATGTGTTTGTAGTCTCAGCTACAAAAAAAAAAAAAAAAGGAGGATCCCGAGCCCAGGAGTTCCACCTTGGCAATCTAATGAGACCCCCATTCAAAAAACAAACAAACTAAACAAAACAAAAAACAGTCCTTACTTTCAAGATCACAGTTTGGTAGAGAAAATATGCATAAAAGATAGTTACTATACTATGCCATTCGAAAAATTTATTTGAAATGGATCACAGACCTAAATGGGTAAGAAGTGCCCTTGAAGTAGACAGGCGTTTCTTAGCTATGACACCAAAGGCACAAGCAATGAAAGAATATGAGAAATTGGACTTAGTGTACTCAAAGTAAAAACTTTTGTGCTGCAAATGATACCATTAGGAAAGTGAAAAGGCAACCCACAAAATGGAGACGGAAGATACATTTGCAAATATGGAAGATGGAAGTAAATATCTGTAAATCACATATTTGATGAGCAACTTGTATCCAGAATATAGAAAAACTCTTTGTTTTTGTTTTTGAGACAGGGTCTTGCTCTGTTGCCTAAACTGCAGTACAGGGGCAAGATCATGGCTCCCTGCAGCCTCGACTTCCTGGTCTCAAGTGATCCTCCCACCTCAGCCTCCTGAGTAGCTAGAACTACAGGCATGTATCACCATACCTACCTAATTATTTATTTAGTTTTTTAGTTTTTTGTAGCGAGTGAGGGTCTCATCACATCACCCTGACTTGTCTTGAACTCCTGGGCTCAAGCAATTCTCCTGCCTCAGCCTCCCAAAGTGCTGGGATTATAGACGTGAGCCACCATGCCCAGCCCTGTTTTGTTTCTTTTTTTTTTTCCTTTCAAGACAGGGTCTCACTCTGTCATTGCCCAGGCTGGAGTGCAATGGCATGATCCTGGCTCACTGTAGCCTCAAAACCCCTGGGCTCAAGTGACCCTCTCAGCTCAGCCTCCCAAGTAGCTGGGACCACAGATGCACACCACTATGCCTGGTTAATTTTTAAACTTTTTGTAGAGAAGGGATCTTGCCATGTTGCCCAGGCTGGTCAAACTCCTGGGTTCAAGTGATCTTCCTGCCTTGGTCTCTCAAAGTGCTGGTTTTATATGTGTGAGCCACTGCACCTGGCCCAAAAACTCTTAAAAGTCAACAATAGAAAGACAAACTCAATTCAAAAATGAATAAAGGATATGAGTAGACATTCCTCCAAAGAAGATATACAAATGGATAATAAGCATATGAAAAGATGCTCAATATCATTAGCCTTTCGGGAAATAAAAATCAAAACCACAATGAGATACCACTCCATACCCATTAGGAGGCCTAAATAAAAAGACAAATGATGATAACTGTCAGTAAGAATGGAGAAACTGGAATCCTCATATACTGCTGGCAGGATGGTTTTGGAACAGGTTCACAGTTCGTCATATGCTTAAATGTGGAATTGCCATATGAGCAGCAATTGCACTCCTACACATATATCCAAAAGAAATGAAAACATATGTCCACAGAAAAACCTGTCCATGAATGTTCACAGCAGCATTATTCAGAATAGTGAAAAAGTGGAAAAGAACGCAAATGTCAACTAGTGAATGAATAAAATGTGATATAGTCATACAATAGAATATTATTCCACACTACAAAGGAATGACATACTGATACATATTAACATAGATGGACGTACATGGATGAACCTTGAAAACACTGTGAGTGAAAGAAGACACTTATAAAAGACTAGATGTAACATGATCCATTTATACAAAATGCCCAGAATAGACAAATCCAGAGAGTAAATCAGTGGTTGCCAAGGGCTGGGATGCGGGAGAGAATGGGGAGTGACAGCTAGTGGGTATAAGATTTCTTTTTAGGTTGATGAAAATGGTTGAAACTTAGATTGTGCTACATACAGCCCTGGGCATATGCCAAAAACATTAAACTGTCTATTTTAATGGGTAAATGTTACGCTCTGGTTAATTATATCTCAATAAAGATGTTATAAAATGATAATTACTGTATCACATAGTCATTATTACCACCACTGCATTAACAAAGGCCTGTAGGTAAGCCTGAGGTTGCCATCAACAACTGTTTCCTCAAGAAAGTGATGCCCAAAGGAGAAGCAGGAGGGAGTCAGGCTCAGGGAGAAGGAAAACCACTCCAGGCAGAAGGGATGGTACTGGGAAAAGGTTTGGAAGTGAAAAATCGAATGACCAACATTATCCGTTAAATTAGAGAACAATGCAGAGAGCTGGCAAGGGAGAAGGCGGAAGATGAAGCAGGCACACAGAAGGCTCTTGGTAATTACTGAGTATTAGTAAATTACTGGTGCTGACCTACTGTAGTGGAGGGATGGCATTCATAGCTCCATCCTTCACACTCTGCAGCCACTCCATTTGTCATGTGACTTGCAGTTCCCTTCGCTAATGAGGCAAAGTCTATTTTTCCCAGCCCTGACTCTGGCTGGCTATGTGACTGCTTTTGCTGGTGGGGTCTAAGCAGACCTGAAGTCAGCAGAGGCTTGAAAGGTGCCGTGTGGCCATCCTTGCTTGCCCTTGCACCTTCCTACTGCCTTCAGAATAGGATTTTCAGGGTGGAAGATGCAAGACATGTGGAGCAGAGCTAGTTGTCCCAGTCATTCCAGCTGAGGCCATTCTAGATCAATCTACAGCCAGCTGACCCCAGATATGTAGGCAAGAACAGTAAAGATGCTGCAGAGCTCTTGCTGGCCCAAAGGTGAACTGATCCAGCCAAGCCCAAGCAGGACCAGCTGATCGTGACTCCTATGCTAAGCGATTACAGTCACGTGTCACTGGGGTTTTGTGGCTGGGAGTTACTCAGCATTATTATGACAGGGATTAACTGATATGCCTACACTGCTGTAAAGTGGTGAGAAACACTCCTAACAGTTGAATGGGGCTGTGGAGCTGACCTTCTTTTAAGAGAGAACAAATGCACGGGCTCTGAAGCCTGACATGACCTGTTCTGCCACTTCGCACTGGTGAGGCTCGGGGAAAGCTGCATCAGCTGCTCCCACCTCCATTTCCTCATGAGTAACATGCAGATTTATGTACCACAGTATAACACTACTGTATAAGGACTGTTTTGAGATTAAATACATGTAAAAACAATTGAGTATGGCACATAGTAGGAGCTTCATAAATGTTAGATTTTAAAAAGGCTGAACTTGACAAGGACCCATGACTGAAGAGGAGAATCCCACCTCTGCACCGGTGTGGGCTAGGGAAGTTTTGACAGGCAGGGCCAAGATTCTGTTCTAATACAGACAAAGGTCCAAAAATCTACCCTGTAAATTATTCTGGGCCAAATAATTTGACAGTGTTTTTAAGAGCTGATGTTGATTCAATGTCCATTTTAGCATCTCATTAAAGCACCTTAAGACCATATGTCCTGGGCAGATAGGGAGTGACTGATTAATAAATATGGGGTTTCTTTTTGGGGGTGATAAAAGTTTTCCGGAATCAGATAGTGGTAACGGTTACACAATAATGTGAATATTCAAAAAACCACTATATTGTACACTTTGTAATAGTTAAAACAGCAAATTTTATGTTATGTGAACTTTATTCTCAAACAAAAATGAACCTATGTCCTTCAGCAATACTGCAACCAGTTATAACCTGCCAGTCATAGGTTAAGGTACAATAAAAACAACAAGGGATTCTGGCTTTAAAAAAGCTACTTTTGGCCAGGCACGGTGGCTCATGCCTGTAACCCCAGCACTTTGGGAGGCCGAGGTGGGAGGATCCCCGAAGGTCAGAAGTTCGAGACTAGACTGGCCAACATGGCGAAACCCCGTCTCTACTAAAAATACAAAAATTAGTCACGCTTGGTGGCGTGCGCCTATAATCCCAGCTACCCAGGAGTCTGAGGCAGGAGAATCGCTGGAACCCGGGAGGCAGAGGTTGCAGTGAGCTGAGATTGTGCCACTGCACTCCAGCCTGGGCGACAAAGCAAGACTCCATCTAAAAACTAAAAAAAATTTTAAAAAGCCACTTTTCCACTGGCAGAGAATAGATAACTGGCCTAACTACCTATAGAGGCCATTCCTAGCTCATGAATAATAATAGAACCCCATCAGCTATATATAATACCTCGCTCAGATTTTTATTGATGCTTAGAATATGCTAAGCATTCTTTTTTTTTTTTAAATTTTATTTTATTTTTAAATTGTTTTTGGAGACGAAGTCTCACTGTTGCACTGGATGGAGTGCAGTGGTACGATCTTGGCTCACTGCAACCTCTGCCTCCCGGGTTCAAGTGATTCTCCCGCCTCAGCCTCCCAAGTAGCTACGATTACAGGCGCCCACCACCATGCCCAGCTAATTTTTGTACTTTTGGTAGAGATGGGGTTTCACCATGTTGGCCAGGCTGGTCTCGAACTCCTGATCTCAGGTGATATGCCCGCCTTGGCCTCCCAAAGTGCTGGGATTACAGGTGTAAGCCACTGTGCCCGGCCTGTATATGCTAAGCATTCTTTTTTTTTTTTTTTTTTGAGACAGAGTCTCGCTCTGTGGCCCAGGCTAGAGTATATGGCGTGATCTCAGCTCACTGCAAGCTCCACCTCCCGGGTTCACGCCATTCTCCTGCCTCAGCCTCGTGAGTAGCTGGGACTACAAGGCGCCCGCCACCACACCTGGCTAAGTTTTTTTTTTTTTTTGTATTTTTAGTAGAGACAGGGTTTCACCGTGTTAGCCAGGATGGTCTCGACCTCCTGACCTTGTGATCCACCTGCCTCGGCCTCCCAAAGTGCTAGGATTACAGGCGTGAGCCACCGCGCCTGGCCATATGCGAAGCATTCTTAAAGTGGTTTGTAAAAAAACAATTTTCTTAGCAGAGGCACAAGTAGAATTTTGGGTGGGACAGTTCCTCCTTGAGTACTGTACTTACTATCTCTGGCTATCCCCTGTTTTTTTTCAACCACCCCAGGTGGGACCTCACAAAGCTGTGAAGTAGACAATACATTATTAGTGAGAAGACTGAGAGTCAAAGAGGCTGAAGAAATTGTCTAACATCACAAAGCTATTATGTGGAGGTGCTGCGGTGTGGTGTGGGCAGTGGGACTCTAATGCACTCAGATTTTTAGAGCTTCCCTGTTTTTCTGTTCTCTGTAAGGGGCTGGGTGTGCATTTGCTACATTCAAACATGGCATCAAGTAACTAGAGTAAAAGGAAAAGTTGGTTAGCTCATAACCTCAGCAATCTGCAGTCAAAGGCCAAAGGGAAATATCAGGAAGAGCCACTCGTTTCTTTCTATGTTTATAAGAAATTTCTCCATGAGCTATGAGCATAACCACCATTAATAAAGAAATGACTATGACTAAATCTCATCTACTCTTACGTGGACACCAACCCAAGGAACTCAGATTAGCAACTTATCCTGGTAGGGAATAAGTATACATTTTACGTGGTAAGTCTAATAACTTATCAGGCCTATAATTTGGGGGGTTTATTGCCCTTTTAAGGCACTCTTGAGTAGGGCCACCCAACAGCAGACTCAAAGTCTTAACAAGTTAAAAAAAGCCTGACAGCTGGAGCCCTCCCCATGGGTGCTTTATTTCCCAGACTCTTCTGGACTGACTATACAAAGAAAGAACCTTGATGAACTGTACACACAGAGCACACAGTCAGACCAGCAATTTATAAATCTGGGAAAGCCTCTGCCAGAAAGAAAGATACCTCACCAGCTGAATGCTACCTTTAAGACTATGTTTCCAATCTGCCTCATCACTCAAACAGGCAGCTACAGGCATTCCCACATGCATTTATTAAAACTGAAGTTTCCTGAGGCAAAATAAGGTTTATAAAACTATTTTGTTTTGTTAAACCCCCAAGTAGCTTATAGAAACTTGTGTTTCATGTGTCACTATGCTATGTAGGATTTTGCTTTTGTTCTTTTTTACTTCTCCCAGCCAGGAAACTGAGTAAAGTCTCAGGATTTATCTAATTCTTCTTGTCCTTAGAATCTCCCCAGTCTCATCTTGAATATAAACAGGTCCTGGGGAATGTTATGACAGTTACCTTTACAGACTGACCCTAGGCTTTCTACTAAAATCTTAGTAAATAGGTTTCCTGATTAAGGTCCCACTAAGCTAGTTTTCTTCTATTTAATATGTTACCCCAGCTATTGATCCAGACTTCTGGAACAAATTCCTCCTTTCTTAAATGAATTAATATTCTTTTGTTACCTTTCTAAACAGATGATGGTAGCTTTTAAAAACAAATGCACCATGATTTCCTCACATCTATGATTCCATTTTTTCACTAATTCAATCTGGCTTTGCCACTAATTGCTATCCCTCCACTAGCCACGTATCTGATGATCAGTCTTCACTAACAGAATTCAAGGTCAGCAGATCTCAACAAGATACTCTGGGTGACTTTACAGTTCTAGTATGTCTGAGGCTCCATGTGTTATTCTTATACTTCCTTAGGAGTAAGATGAAGATGATGATAACAGTAGCATCTGATACGTACTGAGTCCTTACAAACAAGGCAGTTTTAAGTACTTTATAAGTATTAATCTAACCATACATAATGTGAGTTATTATTACTCACATTTTCCAGGTAAAGAACTAAAAGCACAGAGAAGTTAAGTAAATTGCCCAAGATTAGAACTAGTATAGAACCATGCCTAGATCTGAACCCACCAGTCTGTCTCCAGGGTTCTCATTCTGAACCTCTATTGCTATGCTGCCTCTCAATATAAACAAGAATTTATCTCAGAGCTCAGTCACCATAAAATAGAGTTTTAGTTAACCAAGGAAACTGAACTATAGCTAAACGAAAACCCAGATTTACAGCCCCTTTCTCATAAGGCAGTTTGCAGAGGTTCTAAAGCACGGCAAGAAACAGCCACTTTAATATGTCGTGAAGAAATCTGAAGCAGGCAATTCTGAGAAAGAATCTTTTGTTTAGTCAACAAGGCAGAAGTTCAGCTGAAGCTGCACAAGCACAGTTACACTCATATTCTCCTAACTATGCTATGTGCAATTAAAGACAGGTTTCAGATAGGATTACCTTGTTTTCTTCTAAGTGCCTTTTCAACTTTTCTTCCAGGTCCCTGGTCTCTTCTAAGCCCTTAAGTTTCATCTGCTCATAATTTTCATATGCTTCTTTAAGTTGCTCTTGTAATACCTGGTGCTCCTTTTCAATCCGTGAAATTTCCCCCTAAAAGTGAATTACAAAACAATCTATTAAAAATCATTTAAAATGCCTACTTATGATCTTGTTCTCTACTGTTTCTTAAACAAAGGAGAGTAAAAGGCAGATGAAAATTTACAAGGGAAATGTCACAATAATTCAAGAATTAAAAACCTCTAAACAGTGTTTAGCAAAACCAGCTCTTTTATAAATATAATCATTCATATTATTGAAATTCATAAATTCTCCAATCTATAATTAGTTCTGAATATTTGTTTTAGAAGGGTTCAATATTAGATCAACAGTTTGATTTAAATGTCACTCTCCACAATTAACACCAACGATTATTTATTAGGTTTAAAAAGTTGCACATATTATACATATTTTAGATATAAACAGAACATTTTAACTTTGGCTTTACTTTTAGGTGTTTCAAATAAATAGTTGCTGGTTATTTCAAAATGACAAAATATTATCAATGAATTATTGTCAGTTATGTTTCTTGCACCAGCTTAACAACAACAAAAAAAACCCCAAACCCAGAAACCATTCTGTTGGCAAACAATAAATGTCATTTAGGTAATTATTTTTTAAAACCTTTCAAACTGCATATAACTTTAAAAGAGCATCTGTTTGATGCTGGCAGCTTCTCCAGCTGGAGGTAACTGTCCTCCCTGTGGCAGCCAGGCTTTAGAAATCTATCCCAAGCACAAACCTGGTCCAGCTCTGACACTTCCTGTACCTTCCCACAATACCTTAGTATTTTTCGAGTGTAAAAAAGCGGGGAATCAAGTATTTGAAACTCCATGAATGATCAGTTAGAGAACTGTGAATTACGGTCAGATTGACCATGCATGCCCATTTGCCTTGGAGCATGCCACTTTGTCTGCCCAGACTGAAAGTTTAGTACTATAAATAGAGTCCATGCTTAACTAAATTAATTAAACAGTCAACTTTACTATTACTCAGGAGCAAAACTTTATGGTTTAAGACTTTAGTTACCTCCATTTTAATTTTTAATTCAGCAAAAGGATCACGGTGAATAGTAACTTGCTATCATGAATGAATTTACATGCCGCAAATTACCAACAGAGACAGGCAGGAAGCTAAATGCCACCTCTATGTTATTACATTTAAACTTCACCATACATCTGTGAGAAATACATTATTTTTGCCTTTAAAAGATCAGAAAACCAAGTGAGGCAACTTCTCAAAGTCCCAGGAGAAAGTAGCAATGCTGGGATTCAAATGCAAGTCTCACTGGTTGAGAAGCCAACAATCAACTATACTAGCATTGAGGTCCTGAAACTAAGAGCTAATTTAAGAAAGCATTTGTGAACGTTCCCATCACTAATAAAAACACTCATTTGAGAGTCAAAAGCACTGACTCATTAAACAACAGAGCCTACCTTGTTTAAAGCTAAGCACAGCATAAGACTTCAACAACAGTAAACAGGCCAAAACGTTCACTATAGGACTATTTGTAAACATAAAAAGCTGACACAATCTAAATGTTCAACAAGAAATTGGTCAAATAAATTATCACACATTAATAAAATGGAAAACCAAGTATCCATTTAAAATGATGCTATAAATCATATTTACTGATATGGAAACAAGTCTACAATAAATTAAAGGTTGCAAATTTCAAATACAATATATATGCTGTGATCCCATCTTTTAAAAACTATTGTTTAATTATATGTAAATGTTCAAACATCCTGGAAGGCTACACATCAAAATGTTAACATGAGTGATGGGAAGGTAGATGATTTTCAATTTTTCTTTCATAATTTTTGGTATTATTCATTTAAAAAATTTAATAACTCTATATATTATTTTTATCATTAGCAACAACTAAACGCTATTTGTACAAATAGCAGCAGGAAACACAAGTTCTGACCTTCCTCCTACTTAACGAGACATTGATCTTGTCAATCATTCCATATCTAACTATAGAACTGCTTTTTAAATGACCCCATAATATTTCATTTTATAGGTATATCATAATTTAACTAGTCCGCTATTGATGGAGGTTTAGATTGTATTCAATTTTCTGCTGATTCAAATACAGACAAAACAAACACACGAATCCCCGTGGCTCACTGGTCTCTCTCTATACATATGAGTGCAGATCGATTCCTAACTGCCTTCCCAGAAATATCAGCTTCACTATCTTTCAAAATGTGAATGATTGCTTTTCTTATTTCAAGTTGGGTGGGCATCTGTTTATATGTTTAAAAATCATCTGTATTTCTTTCATTGTGAATTGTCTATTCGCATCCATTCTCATCTTTGTGATAGGCTGTTAATCTTTTCCTTACTGATTTATAGAAACTCTGTATGTTAAGGAAATTAGTTCTTTATCTGTTTCACACTGCACATAATTTTCCTTGTCATCTGTGTTTTGACATGTGTATGTGTATATATTTGTTCTTATACATATGCTATGCATATAGGATATACACATTACATGCCATGTGTATAGGTATATAAACATACTTTTTTCCCATGCTGTTTACTGATCTTATAAAAAAATTTTCATTTTTTTCCTGGATACTTTTATAGGTCCATTTTTTATGCTAAAATCAAAAAAATGCCTGTTTTTTTTTGTGGTATAAGGAAATGAGGTAGGGACCAAAACTGATTTTTTCTAGATGGCAATCCATTTCTCCTATGTATTTAAGAATCCAATTTTTGCTCATGGATAATTTGCCATCTTTGTTTTTTTTTTTTTGAGACAGAGTCTCGCACTGTTGCCCAGGCTATAGTGCAGTGGTGCAATCTTGGCTCACTGCAACCTCTGCTTCCTGGGTTCAAGTGATTCTCCTGCCTCAGCCTCCCAAGTAGCTGGGATTACAGGTGCCCACCACCATGCCCAGCTAATTTTTTAAAATTTTTAGTAGACATGGGGTTTTACTCTGTTGGCCAGGCTGGTCTCAAACTCCTAACCTCGTGATCCACCCACCTCAGCCTCCCAAAATGCTGGGATTACAGGCAAGAGCCACCGCGCCCAGCCAATTTACCATCTTGATTGATTGATTGATTGAGATGGAGTCTCACTCTGTCACCTAAGCTGGAGTGCAGTGGCGTGATCTTGGCTCACTGCAACTTCTGCCTCCCGGATTCAAGCAATTATCCTACCTTAGCCTCCCAAGTAGCTGGGAATACAGGTGAGCCAACACACCTGGCTAATTTTTGTATTTTTAGTAGAGACAGGGTTTCGACATATTGGCCAGGTACTCTCATATTAATGGTCTATGTATGTGGTAATACAGATAGATTTATATTGTGTTTTGTATTTAGTTGCACAATTCCTTTTCTTACAGTTTCTCTTCCATACCCATTCTTGATACTCATTTTTACACATGAAGTTTAAAATCAATTTGTCTAGTTTCAAATTAATCCTGTGCAGTAACCAAGCCTCTTGGTAGTCACAGCCTTGTATAGACCTCTCCTACCATGTATCAGGGTTGGTGGATTGGTCTATGTGACCAAGAGAATACAGCAGAGGTGATGATTTGTGACTTCCTAAAGCACTGCAGTTTCTGCCTGGGATCACACACTCTGGGAAAAGCCAGCCCCATGAGGTCAAGCGGGGCTAGGTGGAGGTCCACAAGGCAAGGAACTGAAGCTTCCTGGCAACTGCCAACACCCACTTGCCAGCCATGTGAGTGAGCTATCTTGGGAGTAGAACCTCTGGCCCCAGTTACTCCCACAGATGACCGAGCCCTGGTCAACATCTTGGCTAGCCATGTGAGAATCTCCAGAACCATCCACCCTAAACTGCTCCTGAATTCCTGACTTAGAGCGAAATTGCGAGATTTCACAATTGTGAAATATTTACTGTTTTAAGCCACTAGTTTTGAAGTTGTTTGTTATATATACAGCAATATACATAACTAATTAGACCTGTTCATGTATATACTGGGATTGTGTTAAATTTTAAAAAGCTTTAGGGAGAACCAATCTCATTATCAAATTAGGTGTTCTTATCCAAGTACAGGAAATATCTTTTTATTGAAGGCCTCTATGTGTCTCTCCATAGCATTTAAAAATTTTCTTTATATACATTTAAGTATTTTATCTCTTTTTTTGGTATTGAAAATATTTTCTTTTAACATACTTTCTAACAGGTAACTGTTTGTATATATTTTTATATACAAGTACAGGTTTATAGAGGTTAGTATAGGTTTTCAGTTGATCATTTTGGATTTTCCTGCTACACAATCTTAGCCTTTGTAAATAATGATAGTCACTTCTCCTCTTTTCTGTCTTCTTTCTTTCTCATATCTGCTTTCTCAGTTAATATACCCAGGATAATAATAAATATTAATGGTGAGGCTTTACCACTAAGCAAGATGATGTCTTTTGGCTTAAAATATTAGCATGTTGAGAAATATTCATCATTTCCCATTTTCTTACTAGTTTTGGTCACGACAGTGACCTGGATTTTATCCAATACCTTTTCAGTAACTTTGAGTTGATAAGACAACTTTTCTCTTATGATGCATATTAACGAAATAAATTATATTAGTAGGTTTTCTAACTGAATCATTATTATAGTAGAGAAGGTCTTTATAGTATCTTTCTGTATTATCCACATGAATAAGCTTACTTATAAATTATTACATGCTCATTATACCAGTTAAAACAATAAAGCTGGCCAGCCTGGGTGACAGCAAGACCCTGTCTCAAAAATAATTAAAATAAAATAAATAAAATAAAAATTTAAAAATAATAAAACAATAACACTGTTATAATTTGAAATAAATATGCTGGAAAAATTTTACCTTTTCCTTCCCTTCTCAAATTTCAACAATGAAAACAAAATCATTTTTTTGTTATGTTCTCAAGCTTATTCCATGATAACTTTGTGTGGAAAAAGCTGACTCTTTTTTTGTTCTAGTTTATCATTCCATCTGGATAAATTAATGAAAACTAAACCTTTAAACAGTTTAACATAATTTTGACTCACTTGTTGTTCCTCAAAAGGATTATATGGCTCAGTATTGACTTCTTGGTGTATTATGTTCCAAGATACCTGTGGGCAAAACAAAAAATTAAAATTCACTTTATCTCAATTGCTCTAGTAAAATAAGCCCATCAAGTAATAACACTTTAAAACACACCCACAATTTTTTCAAGGTTTTTTTCCCATTTAGATCGTGTTCCATACTTTCTGCAAACATGTATATTAGGAAAATTATTTAGAATTAGTATAACTGAAAATGATTATGATCCACTGCTCTTAACCTATTTTTTTCAAAGCTTCCTAGAAAACATAATGAGGAGTGGGGCAATTCAATAAGGATTTATTTTTTTCATATCCTATAAAGGCAATCATAAGAGAATTTTAATTTCATCTCATGCTTGTTAAGAAGGAACTCATACAGATCTCTCTTGTTTCTATCTCGCTGTCTCTTTTTTTTCCCATTCCTCCCCTGGTTTGACAGGAGAAGCTGGGCATGTGTAGGTCAGGGTCTTCCTTTTTCCTTCTCTTTCTTTCTGAGTAGCTGCCAGCACATTTTCCCTTTCTCCTCCATGCAGTAAGTCCTATGGGGCAGGCACCCCACGCTGGAAGGCCTCCAGGTGGGCCCTCCTGTAACTGGCAGGTAAGGCACTGTGATACAGGCTACACTGCCAGCCAGCACTTGACTTTTCTACAAACAGCCACCTTCTCCTCCAGCCCCTTTATTAATTCTTAGGATGACGTTTTGGCTCCACCTGCTGTCTTATTTCTCAATGTGCGTAGAATTTCGGTAGCAAAGATGGGTATTTTTGAGACCCAAGCTTCTTTCTGAGAAGATTACCTGGCACACTTCACAAAACAGTTCATATTTTTAAAATATTTTCAGGCAAAAGCTTCAGTAATCATTATAAAGTCAATCAACTTTAAGGATTCTTGTAAATATAACGGCAATGAAAAATGAAAAGGAAAATTTAACTTCGGTATTAAGAAGACTTTTCTATTTAACTCTTACCTGTATGGCAACCATCTGCACGTGTGGAATGTTTGTTACTGCACTGATGCTTTCTGGAATTACTTCACATTTGTTGTTAGAATTTCCACAGTGCCCATCATTTCTGTTAGACTCACTCAGGACTGTATGAGCATCCCCTGTGCTGCAGTGTGACTTTACAGATATTCCCGAAGAGTCTTCAAGGATCTGTGTTTCAGAGGCAATCTGGTGACCAACAGCATTCTCAGCATTCAAATGATGACCCTCAAAATAGGCAGCGGCATTTTTATCTGCTCTGTCATTGGCTACAAAAGACGGCACCACTGGTACTGATCTTGGTAGCTGATATTCAGGAGAAAGGCTGGCCAAGGGTGTATATATGCTGGTGTACTGGGGCAAACCTGGTAATACGTTTATGTATGCTGCTGGTGTCTGGGTGATATCAAATCTCTGGAAAGGAAGATACGTACAGTATCCTGTGAACAAATGGGATTGAGCCCAATAAGTTGGTTTCACATCCTCAAGAACCGGTCTAGGGGAATTAGAGGAGACTCGCTTGTAATTTGCATCCTCAGAGCCTGGTGTGGGAGAATTGGAAGAGGCCCCTTTGGGTTTCCCATCCTCAGAAACTTGTCTAGAAGAATTGTCGGCTACTGGTTTGGCTCTCACATCTTCACACGCTGGCTCAGGAGAATTTGCAGACACAGGTTTGGGTTTCACATCTTCAGAAGCTGGTGCTGAAGATGAATCTGACACTGGTGTAGACTTTACATCTGGTTTAAATTCCCTTGCAGCTGGATTCAGAGGTAGTTTAACTCGTAAATACTCTCCTGCTTTTGAAATTTCTTCTACTTTTGTTTTAATGTTTTTCTTCTTCCTTTTTTTCTTGAGCCGTGATGCAACTTTCTTCAATGCAATACAGTTGTCAATCACAACAAAACGAGGACATCCCAAGAGAAAAGGTTTTAAACCTCCTGCTTTTTCTAGTATCTGTCGAGTTTCTTCTGGGAAAAACTCATATTCTTCAGAGAACATCTTGTTACTCATGTCCAAGGGACCATGCTCCTCCAAAAACTGAGAGAAGTAACTTGGAAAAAATTTACATTTACATGAGTTACTATAAGGAAGTACTTGAATACGTCTATAAATAAAAAACTTTTATTCTCCCAAAGGAAAACACTGTTTCACTTTTCACTGATCTCAACCTTTCCCCAACAACAAATATAACAAACATAAGGTTAACTGCAATCAATGATACTATACAGAAAATTTTGTATACCTCCTAGAAAATGATCATTTAAAACTTTTCTGGGAGTGAGGAAAAGCAAAATGAAATCAAAAAGTTATCTTATAACTTTCAACTATGTAATTATATAATTTATTCTAAAAACAATAAAAAAATAAAAATTTATTCAGGAAAGGTAACAATAATGCTAATAATAATAATTTTAAATAAAAAGAGAAAATCAAATCCAAAAACAAATCCTATTTGAATTTGTGTACAGTAAATACTGAAAACTACATACTTTAGCTTTACTTTTGGATGCCTGAGGCAAATTCTAGCATATTTTAAGAAATAATAGTTTAATTTTACAGTTGTTTCCACACTGTCACTCAAGAGTTCTCTGGAAATATGATTTGCTCGGCATTTCAACTCTAAAGAAAAACCATGAAGAAGGATCTAAGAGCACAGAACTAAATAGGAATGATGCAATGGAGGAAAACAGAAGAGAGGGCCATATGGTGGATATGCTACTGACAGGACTTCCAGGAGAAGAGTTGGCTTTTAAATTAATACTCTATTACAGACCGCAGCCCTTGATTTATTTTCTTAAAAGGAAGGCCTCATGCACTATTTAATAACACAAAGCTCAAAATGGTAAGCTATTTCTGAGATTTTCCTGAATTTTTTACTTGTTTTATCCACCCCACTCAATATCGATCTAGTAGCTCAAACTGACAAAATCAATAATCATTAGGACTCTAAATTTAATAATTAAAAATCCTCAGGGCGGGGCGAAGTGGCTCATGCCTGTAATCTCACCATTTTGGAAGGCCGAGGCAGGCAGATCACTTGAGGCCAGGAGTTGGAGACCTGCCTGGCCAACACGGTGAAACCCCTTCTCTACTAAAAATACAAAAATTAGCCAGGCATGGTGGTGCAAGCCTGTAATCTCAGCTACTCAGGAAGCTGAGGCATGAGAATCACCCGAACCTGAGAGGCACAGGTTGTGGTGAGCAGAGATTGCACCATTGCACTCCAGCCCATGTGACATGGCAAGACTCTGTCTCAAAAAAAAAAGAGTCCTAAATTAACTTTGTGTAAAACGTGGCAAAATCTCTAAAAACAGGCACAAATTAAACAACTTCTGATCTTTAATTGGCAGCCTCAGTATAAAATAATGATTGTAAAAATTTCAACCCACTTACTCATACAGAGTTGAACATTTTTGTTTTGGGTTCATTTCCCATAGCTTCTTATTGCGGACAACATATTCGTTACTGTGTTGGTCATAGAGAGCTTCGAATTCTTCTACATCTTGCCGAAGATGGTCAGGCACTGCAAAAGGGCCTGCAGAATCTGAATTTCGATTGCTGGTAAATAACAACAAAAAACACCCAGTTTTGTGAAAGATAAACTTTTGGTTTATTATTTAACCAGAAGAATGTTTAATTGAAATAAACACAATAATGGCAATATATTACTCAGCTCTATGTTGCAAAAAAATAGCACCAGGGAACTTAGTGTAGATAAGTTACCCTTCCACAGTTATAGGCAAAAAAAAACATATCCGACAATCTCAGTAAGCACTTTCAATTATTTAGTCTTGCTCCAAAGAGCAAAATTCTTAAAACTCCGTAATTTAAAAAAATGTTGCATTAACTATAACTTGTTAAATGATTGAAAGACAAATGAAGACTGTATTACAACTGCTATTAAGTTAAAGTGAGACTGAGACTGGTAAATGTTATTAATAAAAGGTTTTTTTAGGCCGGGTGCGGTGGCTCACGCCTGTAATCCCAGCACTGTGGGAGGCCATGGTGGGCGGATCACTTGAGGTCAGGAGTTCAAGATCAGCCTGACCAACACGGAGAAACCCTGTCCCTAATAAAAATACAAAATTAGCCAGGCATCGTGGCGCATGGCTGTAATCCCAACTACTCAGGAGGCTGAGGCGGGAGAATTGCTTGAACCCAGGAGGTGGAGGTTGCGGTGAGCTGAGATCACGCCATTCACGCCATTGCACTCCAGTCTGGGCAACAAGAGCGAAACTCCATCTAAACAAAAGTTTTTTTTAAATATAAGATGTTAGCACTCTAAAAAGATGTAGTAGTTTGAGTGTGGACTCTAAAACCAGGCTGCATGACTTAAATCCCAGCTCTGCTATTTATAAGCTTTGTGTTCTTGGGCAAGTCGTTCTGCACTGTGCCTCAGAGTTTCCTTATCTGTACACTGGACAGAATATAATAGCACTTACCTCCTAGGTGGGATAAGTGGATTGAAAGAGTTTATGAATGTAAACCCCCTAAAACAATGTCTGATACATAAGAATTAATCTCAGTAAAGGCTATGCTATGGTCTAAATGTTTGTGTTCCTGCAAAACTCATATGTTGAAACCTAATCACCAATGTGATGGTGTCAGGATGTGGACTCTTTGGGAGGTAATTAGGCTCTGCCCCCATGAATGGACTTAGTGCCCTTCTAAAAGAGGCCCCAGAGAGTTGCCTTGTCCCTTCCACCATGAGAAAACACAGCGAGAAGGCACCATCTATGAAACAGAAAGCAGGCCCTCACCACACACTGAATCTGCCAGTACCTTGATCTTGGACTTCCCAGCCTCCAGAACTGTAAGGAATAAATTTCTGTGTGTAAGCCTCCCAGTTTATGGTATATTGTTATAGCAGCGCAAACTGACTAAGACAGGCTATTATTTTAACTTAAAACAATACCCTACTTAAGGAATCCATGAAAACGACCACGTAAATTTTTAACTGTTCTGATAACTCCTTTAAGAAATGTGAAAAAAAAACTATGTTGTAGATTTTTGGTTCATAAAGGAATATGGGTTACTACTACTCAAAAAAAAAATTTCTTAAATATTTGTTTCTTGAAAACTCAGTTTCGACAACCAGATGGCACTGAAAATCACTAATATATAAGGTGAAACCATAACATCATATACAGCTCCCAAAACAGCTTCTTCTCTATTACAGCAAAAATGCTAGTGAGTATTAACAGAACATTCTCTCTATTGACTATTTTAAAGAATAATTTGTAGACATTTTTCTATGATTTTCCCACAGAGCCTTGCACATGGTAGGTTCTCAATATGTACTTAGGGAATGAACGTTACCAGTATTGTGACTTTAACACAGTTTGAATGAATTCTTAATGCCTTCTAGCCATGCTATGTAAATGTAATCAAGATAGAATTACATCAGGCTGTCACATGCACAGCTTTAGAAAGGAAAGTTAGGGAAATAAAACACAAGTTTATATACATTAAATTAACACAACTTATTAAGTAAAGACATTTGAGTTAAAATGAAGCAAAAATTTAAAAATTATACTTACGTATGGTCTTCACTTGAAGTGATGACATCATTATTTGGAGTTACTGAAGTTGTCCCAGACCCAACTAACATAGGCTGGTTTAAAAGACAGAAAAATGACAATCATTTTCTACCTTAAAATTCCATTAAAGAAAAAAAAATCATTAAAATTGATGAATGCTTATATAAACACACATACAAATTGCTAATATATAAGATCTATCCAAATTTTCTTACAAACAGGAACACATGGTAATAAAAGTTTCAACAGCCAAAAATAAGCTCAAATTAACATTTAGGATAGTTTCCAATGCTCCAAAAAAATTTAAATGTTACTCAGTTTAAACTCCCATTTTACCTAAACTAAATACATATAGTCAAAGATAAAAATAAAAGTTGTATTGGAACTCCTTAGCTCTTCTCATCTTTTGAAGATTTGCTACTCTCTCTCTCACTCCATCCCCCTTTCTGCTCCCCACATACACAAGAGCCATGAAGAACCCACCAAAGACTTAAAAATTGTGCTCTACTCTGGCACAGTAGTTCACGCCTGTAAGGCCAAGGTGGGCAGATCGCTTGAACCCAGGAGTTCTAGACCAGCCTGGGCAATACAGCAAAACCCCATCTCTATAAAAAATTAGCTGGGCATGGTGGCATGCACCTTCATTCCGGCTACTCAGGAGGCTGAGGTGGGAGGATCACTTGAGGCTGCAGTGAGCCGTCACTGCACCACTGCTCTCCAGCCTGGGCGAGAGAAGGAGACCCTGTCTCAAAAATAAAAATAAAAATGCCCTACTTATCTCACGGGCTTGGAGGAGAGCCTTTGGTGAGAGGAAGGAAGGGATTCTATCAATCCTGGGACAGTCATAATGATTAGTATTCATCATTTTTAGTTTAAATATGTTATCTATTTTTTGAGACTTATTTATTTTTGGGGACATTATGTTTTTTTTTTTTTTACTCAGAAACATCTAAAAAAATAAAAAGGTCAATAAAGAATATGAGTCTCTCAAGACTTGCTATTATACAATAAAAAAAAGGAATTTCTTCAAAATGTAGAAGACTGCCAAAACATCTTTAAGTCCTAGAAAGTCTTTCTCTACAAATGTTTCAAAATATCCAAAGAATTGCTCAATTCTAATTTATATGTCCAACTAACTATTTTGGAGAGTTTAGACAATAATTAATACAGAAAATATTCCGTACCTTTGAATCCTTTGGCTTCTTTTTCTTGCCTTTGTTTTTCACCTTGGTAGAACTAAACTAAAAAATGGGGGAAAATCAGTGAACACTCAAATAACAGCATTATGAATCTCAACATAAAGAAACCATATTGGTTTTCACAGACTAGCCATAAGTTAAATATTTGTTTAACATGTTTACATAAAATGTTTAACAAAAATAACACTACAGTGTATCAGCCAAAGTGCTATGATTTATCATAGAAAACAAGCAAAAAAAAATAATACCTAATGTTATAACTAAAATTAAATTGTTCCAACATTTTTATCTTATTTTCCACAGGGTTGGAATGTTGTTTCAAGTAATTAATCAGACTTTTATGTAATTCCAGTTATATGCTATAATAGTATTTTTATTATTAATGTATTTCTTTCACTAAGCCACACTAGACATTCTGCACCTGACCACACACTGGGGCACAAACAGTGAATAACGAAGCCTTCAGCTCCTTATGGGGTAAATCAGCTGTGTTTCCCTGCTTAGTCGGGCAATATTTGATGGAGCAGATTAAGATAAAATTTCATATAGATAGATGATTTGCTCCTGAAAATCAGTAAACGGGCATCTTTCTCTTTGAAAACTGCCACAATGCTGTGCTTTTCTCTATTTACTCACTTTCCTAAACTGAAGAATTTCTGAAGAATGAATAAAAGGCAACTGCAAACTACTCAGGAAGACAACTCTGGAACTGTTTTAACTTAAACTCAATTTAGAGCCACTCAAAACAAAGTCCCTTTGTTTTCCTTCTAGAGCAAAAATTAAAACTTTAGTTATTAAAGATAACTTTTCATTTTTATGCCAGGAGATGAAGAACTCTTCCTTTCTTAATTAGAATATTAATGTTTATCAGCTCTGAAACTTCATGGAAATTGTCTAATTTAAGCCTCATAGTTTGCTGATTATTGCTCCAATTCCAAGAAGAAGACTGGCAGTGACTTTCTAATGAAATAGTACATACTACCCAGACGTCCTTTTAATGTGGTTCTTGAATACTGGCTGTGATGTCAATAAACACTGGCCTGGGTCCCCCTCTCATCCTTGGTTTAACATAGATTAGAACATAAGATTTCAAGTGATCAAGTAACTTACCAGTGCTTCACCACTGTCTTGTTTCCTTAACACAGTACAGCGGCTGTCTGCAGGAATATACAGATGGTTTTGTGAGGAAACTAAATATTTACATTTCCATATAATACACTAAAGCCTTAAAACAACTCCTGATACTACTGGCATAAGCCATGTTCTATTCTTTAATAGGCTTTGACACAAGTGTGGTTTAGAAACCAAGGGCAAAATGGCTGACTAAACAGGAAACCAACTACAAAGAACCAAAAAACTTCAATCTGATTCAGCATAATGTGAGTGCCTTCTAGGTGCCATCTCTGCTAGTGCTGGGAATAGAGATGCACAAGACAGTCCCTGCCATTGATGAACTCCTGCTCCACTGCCAGAAAGACAAACAGACAAACACCTGTAGCCCAGAATGCTAAGTACCACATGAAACACAAGGCAACACAGCTCATGAAGGACTCAGGTCTGCAGTCTGCATGGGAGAGGCCCACAGGAGGGGCAAGGAGGACTCTGAGGAGGAGGGGACATTTAAGTTACTCTGGAAATGAACAAGCAAAGGGGTGGGGCATCGCTGGGGGAACTACATGAATAAAGACAGGAGTCAGGAAAGCACAAGGCAGGTTTGGGCACAGTGAGAAGTGGGGTGTGTGCTCAGAGACAGAGGATGATGATGAACCCAGACCCCAGATGATGTGAATTTAATTTGTAAGTAAAACTAAACAAATGTTTCCTCAAATTGAAGAGTTAAAAGAATCAGAGAGATGTTCTAGAAGAGTCACTACCTGCAATATAAGAGGAAGATGGAAGAGTGGGAGAGTCTAGAGGCATGGAGTCCAGTTTGGAGGCTACTATAGTAGTCTAACTATGGAAAGACAACTAAGGTCCTGGCCTTGGGAAGTGGGGTGACAGCAAAGGATAGATCAAGGACAAAGCTCATCTGGATTGATGACGAACAAGTTATACTCTTAATACTGAAAAGAAAGAATTGACACTAAGTACAGAGTTTCCCGTTTAAAAACTAGATATACAATGTTATTGACTGAGATAAATTGAGGAAAAACAGATCTCTGAAGATGTGATAGGTGGGTTCAGTCATACTGCTTCAAGGGGTTCTTTGGCTGTCTGACAGAAATACCCTAGGGAATCATGCATGAAGAGGTCAGGGGAAAAGTCGGGGCTCTCAGTTATCACAGCACTAGTGACACTGTCGAACACTCTAATCTACAAGATCAGTGGATTTTGAAAAGTTTTAAGAAATATAAGCATTCCTTTAAATGAGGAGATAAAACTGAAAATGTTTGGGGTGAAGGTGGAAGGCAGAGCTACTGGACTTGAGAATCCATTGGGATTGCCAATAATTTGGTTAGTGGCTTCTGACCTCATGACTAGAAACAGAGAAACAGTAGCAGCTGGAAGTGCTGTGTTTTTTATGTAGAGAACACAAGTTAAAGGACTAGTGGACGCTAAGAGGGAACTGTGTCCTTTTTAGTTGTCTTGTTTTGTGATCCAAACATGCATCAGATTTTGTAAGCTCAGTCCTGGGACAGCATTTTATTACCAGCAGCAGCAAACTGATGGTAATAAATTCAGGCTATCAAGTAGCATGTCACCTTCAGTCATGAAGCAGTATCCTGAAAAGATAAAGCCATCTGTATTTGAGTGTGCTCTTTTCTAAGAACTTTCGTTGTCAAAAGTAAGCTTTCCGCTTCCTTATACTGCATTGGAACTTTATCATCTGTGACACCATCGTACAAGGCTGGACCTTTTAATGTACTCTTTAAAACAGCATGACATTTAAAAGTCTAACTCCTAACAATACATAGAGGAGACTTCTGATTCTGAGGGATTTGGGGATTATCATGTTTATGTAGTATGAAAGGTAAGAAATTATTATTTAGAATCCAGGAATATGAGAATTCTTAAGTAAAACAGGACCACACAAGTCACTGCCTCCAGATCATCTCATTTTAATATGAGGAAATTAAGATCTAAGAGAAGAGAAGGAATTAGCTGCTAGCTAGCTAGTTAGTTCAAGCTGGACTCCATGCCGTTACCCAAATAGGCTCCCCAATTCCAAATAAGCCCTGACACCCAGCTTTCTAACTCCACTTTCACATTCAGAGCCCATCTGAGACTCTACCCCTGCACCACAGCTTTCCTCTCTCCCAGGGAGAAAGAAAGTGTTGGGTCCTTCCTTTGATGCCCTTGGCACTTTCTCTGGCCCTCCTGTATTGAGCTTACTACCACGTTACTGTTATTGGTGCATGTTTCTTATTCTCTTTTCTAGAACACAAGGTCCTCAAGGGCAGAGACAAGTGTAAGCATTTCTGAATTCCTTCTCAACACCCATCACTGGGCCCACAAGGTTTTTAATGAACTAAACTAAGGGAGAAGCTGTGCCATAACCTACTTTTCCTGACCCCTAGTTCTAGGCTCTTCCCATTAAAACACGGGGCATCCATTCTAGATTTTGCAAACATCACCTACTTCTGCAGGCCAATGTTTTCTAAAATGCTACAAATCAAACCACTTGCTAATAGATTCTGTCAATGTAACATGCACTCTTTCCCATGATGCTGTGAAAATATCTAAGACGGGAAGAATATTGTGTATTGTTAGCATAACATACCCACATTTGAGTATCTCTTTAACTGATAAAGTAAAAAAGCTTTATGATATAAAAAAATTGCTACTGTTAATCACTAACTTCCCCACATAAACTGGTTGTACCATAATAATTTTCACTATTTTCTTTGTTATGTATTTAAACAAGCTAGGTCCTTCACAGATTTTTTTCCCCTTAAGGTTAAATGTAATATAAATCTAAATTCAGTCCACATACCCATTATATCAAAGAATTCATCTAAAGCACTATGCAATGCTGGGAACTTGTCTCTGTGTTCTTCTAGCAGCCATATTAAACAACGGGCTTCCTTCAATGATGTTGGCTCAGAGAAATAATCAAGTTGCTTTCCTTCTATAGAGTCTAGTTTGTGACCATATTTCTCATGCCAGAGGAAAGTCATGATACTAAAATCAAGCTGTTTAAGAGATGCTCCATAACGAGAAAAGAAAGGTCCTGTGGCATCTAAGCCTGTAATAAAAACAAAACCCAAATCAGAAGAGGAGGGAAATTATTTACTGTAAAATCACATTCAGTCTCACATCTCTGAAAGCAGCTGACTACAGTTTGCTTATATTCTCAGCAAAAACATTTAAATAGTTGAGAACAGATTCGTTCAAGCTATTAGGCATTTTAGAAACACCATTTAACATTGTTAGACTAATTATAATAATTCTTGTCTACTAGATTTGAATAATGTGGGCCAAAGCCTTCTACTATCATAGTTACCTTTATTAGACCTAGGAGATGAAAGTATGGCATTAAATTTCTTTAAAAATATAACAATGAGGCCAGGTATGGTGGTTTAGGCCTGTAACCCTAGCACTTTGGGAGGCCAAGGCTGGAAGATCACTTGAGGCCAGGAGTTCAATACCAGCCCTGGCAACATAGCAAGACCCCTATCTCTACAAAAAAAAAAAAAAATTAGCCAGGCATGGTGACAAATGCCTATAGTCCCAGCTACTTGGGAGGCTGAGGTGGGGGGATTGTTTGAGCCCAGGACTTTAAGGCCACAGTGAGCTATGATGGCACCACTGCACTCTAGCCTGGGTGATAGGGCAAGATCCTATCTCTAAAAAAAAAAATACCCAAACAATGTTTTCACGAATTCATAATGACTTTCATTCCAATTAGTACAAACTAGCAAGATTTTATGTTTCTTTATATGGATTCCATAGTAACAAAACATCAACAATATGCAAAATCTTTCCAAATGTGTCTAAAAGAGGAAATGGGTAAACCCATTCCCCAACACCTAAAATAACTGCTCCTTATTCCCGAAAATGTGGGTCCTCACCTTCCTCTACAAAAAATCAAGGTGGTCAGTATGCCTACTTTTATTCTCCACTCTCCAAATTAGAAAACAGGGTGACTGCAATCTCATACACACTCCTATTGAAATGACAGTGAAGCCCCACTCCTGATGAACAGCTACCAAAAAGAAAAAAGGAGCTCTGTCCAGTATCTCCATCATGCCTCTAATACAAAATGGTCACTTCTTTCAAGGGCCTCAGTCAACAAATGAAGTCAATAAATGAAGCAGAGATTGCTCAGAGTCAAAATTACCCTAGACTGCTTGCTTCCGGATTAGAGTTAGCTTGCAGAGATCATATTGCAGGAAAATTAGGATCTTTGAACACCAGAATCAGGGACCATGTAGAATACTTACACAATAAAAGATTTAGGAGAGCCCAGTGAAGAAACAGCACACTCCCATTCCCCATCCACGTCGGAGCTTGTGCTCAGTGAGGGGAATGCAGGCAGGCAGTGTTCACTACTGAAATGTTAAATTTATCTCACTAGTGCTCTATTACTTCTCTCTCTCCCTCCCTCCTTTCCTCTCTTCAATCTTTTGCTGAACATAAAAAGTGACCTCTCTTATGTTAAATACGTGCATGATATAAGTCCACCCAACAGACGTTTTATGAGAAGTGAAATTCCAGGAAATGAAAACTGCTTTACTTATTATTTAAGTAAGTGTGCATTTTACCTCAGGACTGCAGTAACCCCCTTGCTAATTAACATGCTTGAACTCATTTCACAACTTTAAATAAAAATTGCTACTTTAAACAGTATACATATATCCTTATTAAAATACCTTTAATCTTCAGAATAAACATGGTTTATATCAAAAGACATGTTCACCCTTTCCTGCCAGTGAGCTGGAGGGCTCAAGTGCTGCATTTACCTGAATGAACAATGGCTGGCAGTCTTGACCGTGTAGCATAACCCAGGCAAACCTACTTCTCCAGTCCTGAGTATCTCCTAAAGCATGTTAAAGCAAGCAATAACTTTATAATGTGCTTACTTGATATTCACTAGTGACAATCTTGTCACTTAAAAATAACTTTCCGGGATCACAAATCCATGACGATCTATGCTCAAGGCAGGCATGTTCAGCTGTCTAACTATGCCAAGCTTGCTGTCATCTTACATTGTCTCTTCTGGCAGAAACTGACCAATATCTTCTCTGAAACCCTAGAATTCTAATAGCCCCACGTTTCTAAACATTGGGGACGGCTGGCAGAGGCTTGGCAGGCCCCACTCTGTGGTCTGCTGCTAAAGGCCCTGCCTTTTTCCTGCGGCTTCCTTTAGCCTTTTATCTAATAGTTGCCAACTGAATAAACTATTGTGCTAGGCCAGTTGCTATCCAGTCACTAAGATAAATAGTGCCCTGGTAGGTGCCCAAAGCATCCCTACCTCATGTTACACAACAACTGCATCTGCAGCTGCCTTCTTCAGTCCTACATGGCCTTAGGCAAAGCGCCTGCTTTGGGGGAAGGCAGGGGGCTTGCTCACTCTTCCCTTCTCCCAGCCAAGTTACTAAAGTCAGAACACAGTACAGAGTCATATAATCCTGTGATTTACCACAGCTCAGTCCAACCCTAGGATATGTTTCTCTTAATCTCTAGATACAGATTTGCCCTAGGTGACCCTGAGCAATTAAGTCTCATCCACTCTTCCCTCTAAATTTTTCTTCAAAGAATCTGAATTATATATTTGTCTTCTCAACACAGCTCCGGAGCAGGGGCAGCCTCCAGGATGTGTTATTTACCATGGTTGTGCCTAGGATTCACACACCTACACATTTACAAATAGTTTAGTCTAATACAGGTCTGGATTTCTTTACTGACTGGTCTTTCCTTAGATTGCACCTTTTGAAAAAGTATACTATAACCTACCTATAAAATAACCTAAAAATTGTGGTGTATGTGTGTGTGTGTAATAGTTTTTCTGTTTTTTAAAGGCCTTCATATATTTAGTTCTTTTTTTAAAAAATTCTTTTAGAAACAGGTCTTGCAACATTGCCAGGTTGGTCTCAAATTCCTGAGCTTAAGCAGTCATCCTGCCTCAGCCTCCCAAGTAGCTGGGACTGGAAAAGTATTCTTAACCATACAAATTTATAGTCCTGCATTTAAAGTTATACATTATATGACAAGAAAATGAAAATGACTCAGAGACCTACACTTCCCCTTCCTACTAAAGTATATTGCTCTAGAATATAAAGGGACATACCAAAGCTATTAAGTTTTTGGATCCAGGCGGCCAATTTGGGCTCCACTTCTTTAAGCTCACTCAAAACATGCAGAAATATTCTTGTTTTTACTCTGTTCTTTTCTTGAATCAAGTGACGAATAACATAGTCCACTGCTTCATTTAGAAAATTTCTGCTAGAAAAACAGGTTGTATAGTCTTCTGTGCTCAAAACTTTCCAAGAAAGCAATTCTTTGAGAAGTGTGGCTGTATTCCGTATGCCAGATTTGATTTTGTCAGCATACTGCTTTATACACTGTAGAATTCTGTCATCAAGGAACTGACAATGCTGAACATTGTCTACAGTTTCTAAGGATAAATAACGATGGTTAAAGTGATAAATAGGACTAATTCACAATGATATAAACTTAGAAATAATGTAAAATTACATAATATAAAATGATTCAGATTGATTATATTGTTTTACTAAACAACTCAAGAAACTTTAATTAGAAATATAAACATTTAACAATACTTTTGAAAAGACATGAAAGTGCATGTTAAAATAAACATATCAAAAGCAAGCATTTTATACCCTTCATTCTGAACCATTCATGTAGCATTTAAAACTTAGTTCCTCTAAAATATGGCCACTTCCTTCGACAATCCTAACCCAGCTTCATCAACTACCTTAACTTTACATACAATAAATATGTTTAGTCATCAAGCAAGGAAAGTTAAAATACAATCTCTGAAAGACTTTTCAGTGGGAATACAATCTCTGAAAGGTTTTTCACTGCTCTTTACACCAACCCAATTCTGTCTTTGAGTAACAGAAGACAGTGATAGTATTAAATTACTAACTGAAATCTTCATTTCAATTCAATATCAATGAACATAAGGCCCAAAAGATGCTTATATTTATACTTTTAAATGAGAGTATAATATTCGTATCATGGCTTTGGCTTATGCATACCTTTCTGCTCTTCCTTTTTGGGTGGATTACTTTCTCTTAAGTCCTCCTCCATTCTTTCTTGTGCTAATTTTTTTGCTTCTTTTTTTTGGATCTTTCTCTTCAATTTTTTGTCTTCTTTCAGTCTTAGTTTCTCTAGGCTGATAAACATTTACAATTAGCGATAACTCGATGAACTGTTTTCCTCTGACTATCATAGAAACCATCTTCCAAGCAATACATTAGAAGTTTTCCTTTTTAATTAGAGCCCAGCCTACATCTTCCATTCAATATAAGAAACTGTCAGTATTGTCAAAATAAGGGTACTTGTTTCATGAAAACAAGAACCTCAATGATTAGGTGATGTCTAAGGATGCAGTCTACAGATTGTATAGATGTCACTTCCATGTATGTAAGTTACTTCATAAGATAAACAGAAATAGTACAAATTACTCTGCAAAATAATTCATATAAACTCTCATTTCTAAGAAAAGTCCCATAGTAAAATATAGTTTTCACATCCCAATAATAACCCACAACACTGTAATTTGGTTGATCCGGTTACAATGAATTCTCTCCAACAAATAATTCTGTTCATCTTTTCTTTTGCTTTTTCTTGGTCACAAATGATAAAAAATAATCACTTCTTAGAAAGAAAAACAAGAAGTAGGACCAAAAAGAAAAGAAAAAAGAATCTGAATTATTTGATCTAAAAAAAAAGCTATAGAGAAGTAATAATTTAGACAGTACATTGAGTATTTCAGGGTAAAAAAAAAAAATAGGTTCAAAATGTTTATTGAAGAGAGATAAAAAGAAAAATATGCTTTTGGAATTAAAGTTTCAACAACTGACAGCAAACTATATAGTTTTTATATAAACGCCAAATGTATTCATCAAACATGTAATTTCACAGCATCAAATGTTCTAATTTTACTTGTAAATTCAACCACTAGATAAATAATTCTGAATCAAGTTTTTAGTATGTAGTCATTCTAGGCTAGTTCTCTTTAAGTTTTAAATTTCCATAAAAATCATTTCTAAAAAACACTTATTTGGATATATGTATACACAGCCAATTTTTTAAAAGGCATAATTTAGAAATCTGCATTTAATTGAATTATATTCTAAGAGACATCATCAAACCACTGATTGTTAAAAATCTTACCTAGAACATTTCTGTTTCAGAATAGGTCTTGGAGGAACCTTTTCTTTTATGACCTTGTGTTCAAACTTTAAATAAAACAAAGACATCCAAAATTTGTCTCATACTCCCATGACATAAAACACAAAACCACAAGTGACAAGTATTTCAGAAGCACACATAATGTTCAGTTTGATAGAGAACAGTGATGATGTTCTGACCCAGACAAAAGCCCAGAAAGCTTTAGCAAAATAATTTACTGAAGAGGAACAAGAGCGTAGACACACTTGAGGAAAAGGATTTTAAAAAATTAAGAGTAAGCAGACGATCTAATGAAGTGTAAATATTATTACAACTACCCACTCCTGCCACTCCCATGTCATGAAGTTAAAGGTAATCCCTCAAGATGCTCTTCCCCCTCCCTAAAAACCTGCACACCCACTAATGCCCAAAAGTTTACCAGGATTAAGAAAATGAAGTTATCAAAAAGAGTAAAAACAGTAAAACTAAGATATAAAAAGCCTCCTTTTCCTATTAAAAAATAAAAGAATATACGAATGCTTTCATTACAATGAAGCATTCTCACATCCAAGTATTTTCTATATTTTCTTAAACGAAGTAATTGCTTCTTTCCTGGAAAATATCCAAATTACACGACATCTACAAATTCAAATCATGTTTCAAAAGGTGTAAACATTTTGGTTATCTATTTAACAAGGTTTCCCCTTTATTACTTACTTCACATTTAACTTGACCACCACTGCTGAAGATGATAATCTTAGAAATGACACCTTCACAGTCAGGGGTAAGACATATTCCTTGTAGAAAATCCTATTTGATTAAAAAAAAAAAAAAAAACAAGAAAAATGTTACATCTAGGGGGGATAAATCTATACATGTAAAAAAAAAAAAAAAAAAGGAACAGTCAAAATACGGACTAAAACCATCTTCAGGGAAGTGGTGAAAATCCTTACTCACTGCCATGTGAATTTTAAGGCTTCCATGTAGGAAAAACATACTTTCAGGTGTGGGTCTGACCATGTGACTTGCTTTCATCAATGCAAAGTGACCAGACATGATGTACACATGTCTAGACAAAAGGTTTAACAAACACTTTATAGACTGGACATTGTTCTTTTTCCTCTGACACAGGACGATGTTCCAGAAAAGGGTCATTCTTCAACTTAGATTGAGAAACAAGGAATAAAGCCACACAGAATAAAGCTGCTACAGCCCAGTCCCAGCCAACAACTGCAGAACTGTAGGACTAGTCACGTAAGCAAAAAACAAACTTCTCTGAATGTATGCCACAAGATATTTGGGTGTATATTACTTCAGCATATCCTAGTGAAAGCTAACTAATTTAAAGAGCATATTTAAAACCATGGGAATGGTTAAGACCACTAAAAGACGGTATATCGCTAGAGAAACTCAATTTAGGTAAGACAAAGACATAGCAGAAGTGACTCAAAGGTGACAGTTACTTACTCACATCATTCTATTGTTAATTAATTATGTGAAAATGTACAAAATGTGAGAATTTATTTCTACCAAACTTTAATAATTGCTATCGTGAACAGATGCCTAGTACAACTGCCTTATTCTTTCCCAAATAAGAACAGTGGTCTGCATAAGCCTAAGAAGTGTAGGAAAAGGTCCATAGTTTCTACAGACCAGAAACAAATTCTATGAATACAAATAAGATCGTAATATTATGTCTTCCCTCAAAGTATGTCTACTTCATGGTAATTAATGTCATTATCTTGATAATAAGAAAATCCCTGGTGAGAAATGGCAGTTTAAAATTGAAGTTGATCCTTCTTCCCAACATTAAAAAAATTGTTTTGAGTTGATTTCTTAGTACAAATTACTGCATCAAATTTTGGTTTTGAAACCTCTAATTCCACATCAAAACTTTCAAGTGGGGTCTGGCACAGTGGCTCATGCCTATAATCCCAGCACTTTGGGAGGCTGAAGTAGGATCACTTGGGTCAAGGAGTCTGAGGCTGCAGTGAGCTACGACTGCACCACTGCACTCTAGCCTGGGCAACACAGTGAGATCCGTCTCTTTAAAAAAACAAAGCCTCTATGGTTAATGCCTTCATGATTGTATAAATAAAAACAAAACCTGATTTTTCACTTTATTATTAAAGTTATAATTTAAAACTTTCTAATTATGTGCAGAATGTTTAGGAAGGAATTCTTGGGGGAAAAAATTGACATACAATAAGTATACTGAAAAATTCAGACAATCTTGTTATGCTTTACCTTGTCAATTTTATCATTAAAGGTTGTACTTTTTAACTTCTTCCAGCAATTCATGTGAAATTCTATTTTACAGTACTGGCAACAGCTGATGCGTATAAAACCCTAGGGTTACAAAAAAATTTGTAATTAACGTTTTAAAGATGTCTCTGCACACACACTCACTACAACACAAAAAAAAACAAAGAGAGAGAGCTTGACTAACATGTTTATTTCCACAGCATAAAGTCACATTATTCTTTATATCAAATATTTTATAAACATTATTTCATCTGATTTACTAACCAGGGACATTGGAACATTAGGACAAGGGCAGCTACTATCTTCTTGAATAAACCAGTATAACTTAATTAAGTGCCAGACTTATCTCAAATTTTGGTCTTTAGCAGCTAATTCAGTGATCACAATGACCTTTAGATTCGGGACTCAAATTTTATGAGACATCAGAATTGCAACAAATCAGAGGTAACAATCTCACTTTGTTTCCTATCCTCCTAAGGTAGCTGGAAGAGGAAAAGGAATGAGCCAGTCTGCCTTCTCAGGTCACTACCCGAGCCCACAGTGTTTATACATCAGTGGCTCTGGTTCCCACGTGAGATGATGTAGACCTAAAAAGTACAGGAAGGCTGGGCGTGGTGGTTCATACCTGTAACCCCAGCACTTTGGGAGGCTGAGGGGGGCAGATTACGAAGTCAAGAGATTGAGACCATCCTGATCAATAGGATGAAACTCCGTCTCTACTAAAAATACAAAAATTAGCTGGGTGTGCTGGGACACGCCTGTAATCCCAGCTACTCGGGAGGCTGGGGCAGGAAAATTGCTTGAACCCAGGAGGCGGAGGTTGCAGTGAGCCAAGATTGTGCCACTGCGCTCCAGCCTGGGTGACAGAGTGAGACTGTTTCAAAAAAGTCCAGGGAAAGGGGTGGACAACTGCTAACTAGCCGGAGAACTTGGGTGCTTCCAATTAGAGATTGTTTTGAGCCCATTTTAAGGAATGATTTTGCAAGTTAATGTCCCACTGTACACTCATTATTTACCTTAAAGTCTGGATCAGTTATGTATATCTGGATCTTAGAATATCCATGGCACTTCTGATAGCAACAAATGGCATCTGGCACTGGAGGGAACTTGCATTCTTCAACAAATTTCTCTAACAGCATCTAAAACAAAATAAACAAAAATGATACCATTACAATACTAATCTGTCAATAAATTTCAATAACCTCTTGCCATCAAAATATTTTCAGCATAAGAATGACTAAATTTTTTTCACCAACAACAAACTACATACAACTTTTAAAGTGTTTCCTTTTAAAAGGAAGTTTTTTTCAAAGACATAAGAGATTTAAAAAGAGGACTTAACCAACTTTTTTTTCAGAATTTCGAAAGAATCAAAATTTTGTCCTGTTACAATCATCAAATCTCATTTCATAATTTACAACTCTCTGAAATCTCCCATAAGCATTAAGAGGAAGTCAAGCAAGGCAGAATAACCCTTAGGGGAATCCTGAGGACTTTACCGGCTCCTTTTGCCTGACATCACCTCATCCAGGATCCTAACACTCCCATGATCTTCCTCCTTGCAGCTCTGCCACTGTTGTTTGTGGACTCCCTGGCGAATTATTCCATGGCTAATGAAGCCCCCAAGAGACTCATGCCATGCCTCCAGTGCTGGCTTTTTGTTATCAATAGCTTCTGTGCCTCCATCCCAATCTTGTAAGAAGACAGGAAAATCCAAGAATCCCTGTGTTTTATTTTTTATAACAGCTTTGTTGAGATATAATTAACACACTATACAACTCAAATAAAGTGTAGTTCAGTGGTTTTTAGCATATTCACAGGATGTACCGACATCACCACAATCTAAATTTAGAACATTTTCAACAAGAAACTCCATATGCATTAGCAGTCCCTCCTCATTTTCCCCTAACCTCCCAGGCCCAGCAATCACTAGTCTGCTTTCTGTCCTATATACAGATTTGCCTATTCTGGAGATTTCATACAAATGGACTCACACAAGCCCTTTGTGTTTGGCTTCTTTTATTTAGCATAATGTTTCCAAGGTTCATACATGCTGTAGCATGTTATCAAGTACTTTTTTTTTTTTTTTTGAGACAGGGTCTCACTCTGGAGTGCAGTGGCACAATCTCAGCTCACTGAAACCTCTGCTTCCTAGGTTCAACTGATCCTCCCACCTCAGCCTCCTGAGTAGCTGGGACTACAGGTGTGTGCCACCATGTTTGGCTAATTTTTGTATTGACGGGTTTCGCCATGTTGCCCAGGCTGGTCTGGAACTCCTGAGCTCAAGCAAGCTTCCTGCCTTGGCCTCCCAAAGTGGTGGGATTACAGGCGTGAGCCACCACACTTGGCCATTTGTTTTTGAGGCAGACTCTCACTCTGTTGCCCAGGCTGCACTGCAGTGGCACAATCAAGGCTCACTGCATCCTCAACCTCCCAGATTCCAATACTTATTTACCTATTTATCAGTTGATGAATACTTGGGCTATTTCCCATTTTGGGCTATTATGACTAACGCTGCTATGAACATTCACGTACAAGTTTTTGTGAGAACATGTTTTCCTTTCTCTGTACACACCTAGGAGTGAAACTGCTGGATCATATGGTATGCTATAGTTTGAATGTTTGACCCTCCAAACCACATGTTGAAATCTGATCCCTGGTGTTGGAGGTGAGACACAGTGGGAGGTGTTTGAGTCATGGCGACGAATCTCTCATGAATAGATTAATTCCCTCCCTGGGGTGAGTGAGTTCTCACTCCATTAGTTCCCTAAAGAGTTGGTTGTTAAAAAGAGTCTAGCACTTCCCCGTCTCTCACCATATGATCTCTACAGACTGGCTCTCCTACGCCTTCTCACATGAGTAGGAGCTGCTGAAGGCCCTCACCAGCAGATGCTGACACCATGCTTCTTATACAGACTGCAAAACCATAAGCCTACTTTTCTTCATAAATCACCCAGTCTCAAGTACTCCTTTATAGCAACACAAATGGACGGAGACATGGTAACTCTATGTTTAACTGACTATTTTCCAAAGCAGCTGCATCATTATACATTACCACCAGCAGTGTCTGAATGTTCCCATTTTTCTATACCCTTGCCAATATTTATGTCTACCCACATCCTAGTGAGTGTGAAGTGGTATCTCACTGTGGTTTTGATTTGTATTTCTCTGATAGCTAATAATGCTGAATATCTTTTCATGTGCTAACTGGCTATTTGCATATCTTCTTTGCAGAAATGTCTATTCAGATCCTTTGTCTACTTCTTAAATTAGATTATTTGTCTTTTTATTATTGAGTTGTACAAGTTGACTTCTGTGGTTTTCAAAGCTTCAGCCAAAATCAAGTTCTGAGTATATGTGAGAGTTCACTACAAGTAAAAGCCTATCTCAGTCATTTCACACATAAGTCTTTCTAGAATAAGCAAAGCATCTTTATGCTTCTGGATGTGAGACTAAATTCATATTTTTCTGAATCTTCAAGTACCATCTCAGTAACTGTGGTAACTTTATGATGAAACAACAATACTATACCTTCCTGTAAGTACAACCAAGTCCAGCATACTACAGGATCACGTACACTCAGAAGTCAGAATGCCTGGACTCAAGTCCCAGGACCACGATTTGCTTGCTGTTTCACCTTGAGTGCATCATTTCACCTCTCTAAACTTAACCTTCCTCATCTGTAAAATGGGAATGATCACAGTGCCCCCTGCACAGGCCTGCTGTAAGGATTACTGCTGTAAGGATTACGATAAGTGGAAGGTACAGGACTGGCACATAGAAAACATTCAATAAATGTCAGAGAATCTCAATAGACTGTAGAGGGGAAATGCATGTAAGGGAAGTGGGGATGGAATGCTCCTACTTCTCTGCCTCCTGCTACCTGAGTCAGTCAATGCAGATAAGCATTCACAGTAAGAAACACTTTGCAAAAATAAATGGTTACCTTTATTTTTTGTGGCTGAGATTCTTCAATAATCACATTACTTGTGGGCCAAGTTAACACTCCAGGAAGACGATAAATCAAGGTTCTTGCTTTCTCAAAGTGATTGAGAGCTTCTAGAAATCTAAAGTCAAAATTATGAAAAAGGCATTAAAGATGTAAAATGGTATTTTCATTCCCCTCAACAAAAGTCACCAAAGATCTCAAGCTTACTGGGACGAATACATTTGCTGAATCACTGAACAGCAATATTCAATGTAACCTAAATTTTCTTTAAAAAAACAAAGTCACTATTGCTGTTTTGCTATAAAAGTAATACGCATTAAACACAACTAAAAAAAGACACTGGCTTTATTGTGCTAGGTGTACACTAGTTTTTTGTTGTTGTTGTTTTTGTTGCTGTTTTTGAGATGGAGTCTCACTCTGTCACCCAGGCTGGAGTGCAGCGGCGCGATCTCAGCTCACTGCAACCTCCACCTCCTGGGTTCAGCGATTCTTTCTGCCTCGGTCTCCCAAGTAGCTGTAACTACAGGCACGCACCACCACACCCGGCTAATTTTTGTATTTTTTTAGTAGAGAAAGGGTTTCACCATATTGGCCAGGCTGGTGCCGAACTCCTGACCTCATGATTCACCCGCCTAGGCCTCCCAAAGTGCTGGTACAGGCATGAGCCACCACGCCCGGCCAATGTACGCTAGTTCTTTTAAAGTTGATACTTACTTTTTAAAGTTTCGAACAATTGAAACAGAAAATTGAATAACCTGTTCAATCTTTGTTTCATTAACTAAACTAGATTCTTATACAGAAACAGCAAACTTCCACTTCAACTAATAATTCATAAATAGGGGAATTTTTATTTTATTTGACTCTATTAGGACAACGGTAGTAAAAATTTCTCTGCTAAAAAATTTTTTTTAAGGCATCATGTATTCTGGACGTTTTCTCTCAACCATAAAACAGTAAATTATTTTTTTTAAACAAATATTTAAATGTGTATTTAAATTGCTTTAACTATAAATATGAAATGTTTTAGTTCTGATTTCATTCATGATTTGAAGAAATAATGTCAATAGATTCCCACAGTCCATTCAACGAATACTGAAGTACTTAATTATAAAGTTAACCAAAGCTGGGCGCAGTGGCTCATGCTGGTAATTTCAACACTTTGGGAGGCCAAGGCAGGTGAATCACCTGAGATCAGGAGTTCGAAACCAGCCTGGCCAACATAGTGAAACCCTGTCTCTACTAAAAATACAAAATTAGCTGGGTGTGGTGGTACATGCCTGTAATCCCAGCTACTTGGGAGACTGAGGCAAGAGAATTGCCTCCAGGAGGCAGAGGTTGCAGTGAGCTGAGACTGCGCCATTGCACCCCACCCTGGGCAACAAGAGCAAAACTCTGTCTCAACAAAAAAAAAAGTTAACCAAGTCTTTATTCATCTCTTCACACTAGAGAAGACTTTCCTGCCTTCTCTAATCCTGAAATGACTTCCCAATTTAAAAACTTATTTTTGCCTACAGCTACAGTAAGATTCACGTGCAGAAAAGCTAGACCACCATCCACCGTAAGACAGTCATACATCACAGGATTTCAAAGCAGAAACTGCACATTGCAACACCAAAAAACAGCATATTTGCTATTCAGTCCCACACCGTAATATTCAGAAATTAAAATGTAAATGCTTTTCAATATGGAAAAGACTTTCTAGTTTTGCACAATCTCCATGATTCTAAACATTTAAGTAACTTTTCTAGACCTTGTGAATTTGCATGTGACTGCTACATCAAACGGTTATAACCTAAACAATTTATACTACACTTTTAAACTAGTTTCATTTGCTAATCCTGTAAAGGTGCTTGCTAAGTCCTCACTTTCCCTGCATCTACTTGATCCTTAATATAGCTTAGCTAAGACAGACAGTAATTTCACGAAGTAAAAAAAAACTTTCTTTTTTTTTGAGACGGAGTGTCGCTCTGTCACCCAGGCTAGAGTGAAAAAAAAAAATCTCGACTCACTGCAACCTCTGCCTCCTGGGTTCAAGCAATTCTCCTGCCTCAGTCTCCCGGTAGCTGGGACTACAGGTGCACACCACCACACCCGGCTAATTTTTGTATTTTTAGTAGAGACGGGGTTTCACCATATTGGTCAGGCTGGTCTCGAATTCCTGACCTCAGGTGATTCACCCACCTCGGCCTCCCAAAGTGCTGGGATTCCAGGTGTGGGCCACTGTGCCTGGCCAAAAAAAACACTTTAATTTAAAAAAATCTATAAAGGAGGTTCTAGGCACATTCTAAGCCTGGGGTGGGGGGTTCCGCCAAAATCTCACAAAATTTCCCCTAACAAGTTAAATGAAAATTGAAAGATAGTTAGAAATTATAAATAATATTCAATCGGTCAACAATTATTTCTTTATACAGTAATCTAAAATACCTACCTCTATACTGGGTACAACTGGCAGAACAGATTTTCTTTTTTTAAAGCTCAAGACATAATCCTGTCCCCTCGGGGACATACTGACATTCAGGGAGACAAGACTAAGAGACATGAGGCATTTAGAGAACAGCTTCAATATTAAACTGTGAGTAAGGATTACAACTACAATAGAGTTCAAAGGAGAGACTTTTATTCCTAACTCATTATGTCTTTGAACACACAGATATCTCTTATTTAAAACCATCTTTATACAGATTTTTAAAAAATAATTAAATCAAAAAATTAAACAATCAGATTTTAAAAACATTGTATCAATTTACTCACTACAGATGATTATACACTAGACTATTCAATCTTTAATGTCAAATTACTATATTGCTGACTTACTAGATTTAAAATCAGGAAGTACCAAGAACTGCAATGACTGGCCTTGCTTTAACAATTAATATTGATAGTGTATTTAATAAATGGTGCTGGGAAAATTGGCTAGCCATAAGTAGAAAGCTGAAACTGGATCCTTTCCTTACTCCTTATACGAAAATTAATTCAAGATGAATTAAGAGACTTAAATGTTAGACCTAAAACCATAAAAACCCTAGAAGAAAACCTAGGCAATACCATTCAGGACATAGGCATGGGCAAGGACTTCATGTCTAAAACACCAAAAGCAACGGCAACAAGAGCCAAAACTGACAAATGGGATCTAATTAAACTAAACAGCTTCTGCACAGCAAAAGAAACTACCATCAGAGTGAACAGGCAACCTACAGAATGGGAGAAAATTTTTGCAATCTATTCATCTGACAAAGGGCTAATATGCAGAACCTATAAAGAACTCAAACAAATTTACAAGAAAAAAACAACCCCATCAAAAAGTGGGCAAAGGATATGAACAGACACTTCTCAAAAGAAGACATTCGTACAGCCAACAGACACATGAAAAAATGCTCATCATCACTCGCCATCAGAGAAATGCAAATCAAAACCACAATGAGATACCATCTCCCACCAGTTAGAATGGCAATCATTAAAAAATCAGGAAACAACAGGTCCTGGAGAGGATGTGGAGAAATAGGAACACTTTTACACTGTTGGTGGGACTGTAAACTAGTTCAACCATTGTAGAAAACAGTGTGGCGATTCCTCAAGGATCTAGAACTAGAAATACCATTTGACTCAGCCATCCCATTACTGGGGATATACCCAAAGGATTATAAGTCATGCTGCTATAAAGACACATGCACACGTATGTTTACTGCGGCACTATTCACAATAGCAAAGACTTGGAATCAACCCAAATGTCCATCAGTGGCAGACTGGTTTAAGAAAATGTGGCACATATACACCATGAAATACTATGCAGCCATAAAAAAGGATGAGTTTGTGTCTTTGTAGGGACATGGATGCAGCTGGAAACCATCATTCTCAGCAAACTATCGCAAGAACAGAAAACCAAATACCACATGTTCTCACTCATAGGTGGGAACTGAACAATGAGATCACCTGGACACAGCAAAGGGAACATCACACACCGGGTCGTATTGTGGGGAGGGGGGAGGGGGGAGGGATAGCATTAGGAGACATACCTAATGTAAATGACGAGTTAATTGGTGCAGCACACCAACATGGCACATGTATATATATGTAACAAACCTGCACGTTGTGCACATGTACCCTAGAACTTAAAGTATAATGAAAAATATATATATATTGATAGTGATATTTCATTCAGGTCCTCAAAGTAAATCACAATTATGATAGTGTGCTACAGAGGAAATATCAAAATAATTCCAGAAAATGGATCATTATCATATTGGATTTTAAATGAGTTACCAGCCTACAGCTTAAATTAGTGTCATTTCTACTAACCTGTTTTTTTTCAAGTATACTTTTCCAATTCCACAGTAGGCCAAGCAGTCAAGTCCCTCATTGGGGTAGTGTTCAATAATCCTCTTAAACTGGTTTTCAGCTTCAGATAATTCCTTCAATAGCAGTGAAAACAATGATCACTTACATACAAAGAGAAATACTGAAATAAATTTTACCTAAAGGTTGATTTTTTTAATAATATTAAAATAACAACTGCATATCCCCAAATTCCTGTAGCAAAATTATACCTCTGTGTTTCGCTTTCTTAGGAATTACATAAATTTCTGATCATATGGATAGTCAGAGACACAACCAAACCAATCCAGCTGAACACATCAGACAATCAACCTACAAGCATTTACCAGTACACACTAAGGGCCTGGCAGGTGCTGGCTAATACTAAAAAGAGTCAAATCGTGTTTGTGTTTTTGTTTTTTTAAAAAAGGCTAATTATGGTGTAAACACACCATAACATAGATCCTATTAAGTGTTTTTTTCTTGGAAGGAATGCCATTCCAATGATGTTATCACAGTCTTTTGTGGCATAAGATGGATGAAAGCTGTCTTAAAAACAGCTCTTTAGGAAAAACTTAACATAACTTAGAGTACATTCTTTTTTTAATATTCTCAACAGTGAAAAACCACTAAGTTGAATGAATTTTGTTTTTGGAAAACATCCAAAAGACACTCAGTTCTAAGAAATACTGGTAACCCTACTGTGAGTGAAAAAAAGAAATGTCACTACAAAATAGAGCTTTGAGGCCAGTTCCAACAGAGGCATTCTAAAAGTGTTTGAAGCAAGGGCTGTCCTCTGATGAAATTCTTCCAAACATGTAAGTTCTACTATAACATGTTTTTTTTTTTCCCAAATCATTCTATTTTACATTAAATCACAAATGTAATAAATGATTTCTTCAATTCTAATAAGGTAAAATATGGTATTTATTATTATTCTGTCAGGAATAAAATTAAAATCATGAAGTTCTGTCTCCAACTGTCTCTTGGAAAATAGAATTAGACAGCATTCATGGGAGACATTAATCTGTGACATTGAGATCAAGGAAAATGAACCTTGGGCACTGTCGACTTCTGGGAGAGAAAAGAACGTAAAAGACTACTTAGATCCTCGCTAGGTGGCAAGTTAGGGTTAAACCTTCATCTAGACAGGGAAAAACAGAGCCCAAATTATATATTATACTTGAGGTCATTCTAGAGCATTTCAACATTTATAGCAAACTCAAAACCTCAGAAAGCAAAGTTATAATGCCGAACAGTATAGGTAGGTAAACATTCCAGGAGAGCAAGGCAGGAGCATGACTAATGGAAATCCTGGGAGCTCATGTCTATACACTGACTACATGCAGTTATAGGAAGCCTGCAATCTAGAAATAATACAATACCTAAGTACTTTCTACCTAAAAATAAGAGATATTAACATTATCGTTACCTGTGTTTTTCTAGGAAAACAACATAACATGAAACCTCCCTACGTCCATTCCCTCCTGCCATCACTAAAGGCAGCCATTATCTTCAATTCTATATAAACATAATCCATATTTTTTTCACTTTTTTACAAGATGCACAGAATTCTTAAACAGTATATAATACTATTATGTTTTTTTTCCAAATTATATATAAGTGGGATCACAATGTTTATGTCCTCCAACTTGCTTTTCCCCCAAGATTATGTTTCTGAAATCTATCTATCATAATACATTATGTCCTAATTTTTATACAAATAAAAAGTAGATTCCCACTGATTGCCTGGCAAAGCCTTTTTCTAATAGGAACAAACTAAATATTCTTTAAAAACACAAACTAAATTAAACTGAGACATTTCAGACAAAATTATCAGAAGGTACAGAGAAGAAAATGGGTCAAAATGAGAAAACAACTATTATAAGGTATGTCACTATCATTTTAATTGTTTATTACCACTGTTACAAATCTTACCTCAGGCTGTCCTATTCCAAGGAGAGAAATGGCAAGTCCATAGACAACCAAGACATAGTTAATCATGGCCAGGTTCAATTGCTGTCAATAAAAATGCCTCAGTTAAAAATCTGAACATAATTCTGCCCAATCTGCATCTAGTCACAACAGAAAAAGAAGTGTAATAGAATCTCGCTAATCAATCTTAGTAATCAATGATTGTCATAAAAACTAATCAGTATGATTGGCCAAATCAAATTAGAAAAGAGATTTTTGTCCCAATAAAGCAGTTATCCTGCTATTTAAAACACAGAATCACTGTCTCAGAGTTCCTTAAGGCACGGTTCATAATAGATTAATTTCTAATTAAAGTCATATTATTTTTCATGTAAAGGGTACTAGTGGCAGATTAAGACATTTACTTAGCTATTATAGGCTACTTCAGAGATACTGTGGGTTCGGCTCTGGAGCATCACAATAAAGCAAATATCACAATCAAGTGAGTCTCACAAACTTATGGGTTACCCAGTGCATATAAAAGTTATGTTTAAGCGATACTGTAGTTTATTAAGTGTGTACTAGCATTATGTCTATTAAACAATGTATACACCTTAAGATTTTATTGCTACAAATGCTAATGATCATCTGCGGCTTTACTGAGTCATAATCTTTTTTTAAACTTTTTTAAAAATTATACTTTAAGTTCTGGGATACATGTGCAGAACATGTTTTTTTGTTACGTAGGTATACACATGCCGTGGTGGTTTGCTGCACCCATCAACCCGTCATCTACATATTTTTGTTGGTGGATGGTTTTGCCTTGATATTGATGACTGCTAACTGTTCAAGGTGGTAGTTCCTGAAAATTAAGGTGCTGCAGCAATTTCTTAAAATAAGACGACAATGAAGTCCGTCGTACTGACTGACTCTTACTTTCAGAAAAGGTTTCTCTGTAACATGTGATGCTTTTTGACAGCATTTTACCCACACTAGAACTTCTTTCAAAATTGGAGTGGCAAATCCTGCCACTGCTTGATCAACTAAGTTTCTCATTTCAACAATATTCACAGCATCTTCACGAGGAGTAGGTTCCATTTCAAGAAATGACTTTTTTTGTTCATGTGTAAGAAGCAACTCCGTATCCCTGCAAGTTTTATACTGAATTATGCAGCAATTCAGTCACATCTTCAGGCTCCACTTCTAATTCTCTTGCTTGTTCCACCACATCTGCAGTGACTTTCTCCACTAATGTCCTGAACCCCCCAAAGTCATCCATGAGGGCTGGAATTCACTTCTTCCAAACTCCTGTTGATGTTGATATTTTGATTTCTCACATGCATCATGAACGTTCTTTATGGTATCTAGAGTGGTGATCCTTTCCAGAAGGTTTTCAATTTACTTTGTCCAGATCCAACAGAGGAATCACTATGGCAGCTATAGCCTTATAAAATATGTTTCTTAAATAATAAGACTTGAAAGTCAAAATGACTCCTTGATCCATGCGCTACCAGGCATGAAAACAACATTCATCTCCTTGTACACGTACCAAATCTCTTGGGCAGGTGCATTGTCAATAAGCAGTAGTATTTGGCAAGGAATCTTTTATTCTAGCAGTAGGTCTCAACAGTGGGCTTAAAGTACTTAGTAAACCTTGCTGTCAACAGATGTGCTGTCATTCATGCTTTGTTGTTCCATTTCTAGGGCTCCAGGCAGAGTGAATTAGCATAATTCTCAAGGGCCTGCAGATTTTTGGAAAGTAAATGAGCACTGGCTTCAACTTAGGTCATCAGCTGCATCAACCCCTAATGAGTAATGAACCCATCCTTTTTGAAGCTTTGAAACCAGACATTGACTTCTCTCCAGCTATGAAAGTCCTAGACGGCATCTTCTTCCAACAGAAGGTTGTTTTGTCTCCATTGACAATCTGTTGTTTAGCATAGCCACCTTCATCAATGATCTTCACTAGATCTTCTCAATAACTTGCTGCAGCTTCTCCATCAGCACTTGCTGCTTCACCTTGCACTTTTACGTTATGGAATTGGCTTCTTTCCTTAAATCTCATGAACCAACTTCTGCTAGTTTCAAACTATTCTTCTGCAACTTCCTCACCTCTCTCAGCCTTCACAGAAGAGAAGAGTTATGGTCTTGCTCTGGATTAGGCTCTGGCTTAAGAGAATGTTATGGCTGGTTTGATTTTCCACCCAGACCACTAAGACTCTCCACATCGGCAAGAAAGCTGTTTCACTTTCTTGTCATTCATGTGTTCATTAAAGTAGCACTTTTAATTTCCTTCAAAAACTTTTTCTTTGCATTCACAGTTTGGCTATTTGGCACAAGAGGACTAACTTTCTGCCTGTCTTGGCTTTCAACATGCCTTCCTCACGAAGCTTAATCATTCTAGTTTTTCATTTAAAGTGAGAGACGTGCAACTCTTCCTTTCACTTGAATACTTAAGAGGCCATTGTAGGGTCATTAATTGGCCTAATTTCAACATCATGTCTCAGGGAACAGGGAGACTTAAAGAAGTGGGTGGAGATAACAGCTGGTTGGCAGAGCACTCAGAACACACACACACAATTTATTAAGTTCCCTTTCTTATATAGGCACAGGTTGTAGTGCCCAAAATAATTACAATAGTAACATCAAAGATCACTGATCACGGATATAGTGATAATGATAAAAAAAAAGTATGACATATTGTGAGAATTACCAAAATATGACACAGAGACACAAGGTGAGCACATGCTTTCGGAAGACTGGTACCGACAGACCTGCTTGACATAGGATTGCCACAAATCGTCAATTTGTAAAAAATGCATTGTCTGCAAAGTGCAATAAAGCAAAACATAATGAAATGAGGTGTGCCTATACTTTCTTCCTGAGTGAAAAGGTGTGACTAAAGTGAGTTGAAATCCTTGATTTAGAGAAAAAGTCAGTTCTAATGACCCTAAACTACAGTCAAGGAGAGAGTATAAACATGGATCACCTATTGAGCATACTCGTGAAGTCTGAATTGGAGCACTACCTGCTTCCCACAACCTGAAGTAGATTCAGCCAATCTCAGCAAGGTCTTAGGTATATGACTACAAAGAGTTAAGGCCTTGGTTCTCTTCTGCATTCATCTGAGGTGCATTAGCACTGATAAACAAGTTATGATATGGCAAATTTACCTTTATTTTTTGAGGATCTAAACCGTTCAGCAACTCTGTAAAGGCCTGTGCGGCACTGCGGCAACGCTGCTCCAATAAGGCCGTATAGCCATCTTGAATTAAGCTTCTCAACATTTTCATTATATTAGCAAAATCCTGGAAAAAAGAAATTCTATTTCAGTAACCCGAATCTACATATTTTTAATTTAAAACTTAAGATGCCAAGTTCATAGTAATATTTTATAACTAATGATAAAATGTTTAAATCAATACCCAAACTACCCTTATTCATCATATTCCTTTCTCAGCAGCACACTTTTAAAGTGAAAAATGAAAATGTACTGCTTTACCATCTTAATTGCAATACCTCTTCTGTTGCCTGTGACAAAGGTGGCTCATTTTACACTACATGGCACTAAGCCTCACTTGCTCTCCAGACTAAACAGAGAGCATTTTTAAGTTTTAACAATATATATGAAAAACACTAGCTATCATTTAAAATAAATTGTTTGGGAGTAGAACAATTGGACACTTAAGAACACACAATCAATATTCTGATCACTACCAGATTTTAACAACTGCCATCCTGCTCTGAAACAAACCTTAATTCTAAGCAAGAAATAAATATTTCAATTGTTAACTGTACTCCTGCCTAACATATATTTGAATATAACTAGATAAAATTACTGGGAGAGATAACAATAGGTTAAATGCAAAAGGAATAACATAAGGAACAAAAAAATAAAACAAAATTGCTATCATGTACCCTTAAACTAAGAAAAACTTTGCAATTTAAAAAAACATTATAATTTGAATTCATATTTTAGTGACATGGGAATAAATGTAAGTCACCAAAGTTCCATAAAGATTGGAGAGGCAAGGCTAGACATTAAGCCTAAAATCTCACTCCTTGCTATACACGTGTGCGCCATTCAAAAGGGCAGCAACTGCAAGTATGTATGCTGTATTCCTCACCGTTCCTAAAAATGAAGATCCAAAAGGAGACCCCACTGCACAAATCACAGAAGAAAAAGCAGTTTGTTTACCCATTAACAAAAGCCTTCTGCTGGCCATTTTATTTTATTTATTTACTTTTTTTTTTTTTTTTTGAGATGGAGTCTTGCTCTGTCGCCAGGCTGCAATGCAGTGGCACGATTTCGGCTCACTACAACCTCCGCCTCTGGAGTTCAAGCAATTCTCCTGCCTCAGCCTCCCGAGTAGCTAGGACTACAGGCACGCGCCACCACACCCAGCTAATTTTTTGGTTTTTTAGTAGAGACGGGGTTTCGCCATGTTAGCCAGGATGGTTTCAATCTCTTGACCTCGTGATCCACCAGCCTTGGCCTCCCAAAGTGCTGGGATTACAGGAGTGAGCCCCTGCACCTAGCCTCTGCTGGCTTTTGAATCAATGAATCAAAGTTTGGCAGAGCGCTCCCCAGAATATGCATGGAAAAGAGCAGCTCTCACAAAAACTTAAAAGCTCGAAGACAGCCATACTTGTTTTAAGATATGAACTTGAAGTTGCAAATGATGATGTGCTAGCCCTACAAATACTAGTTATTAACCTTTCATAAACTTATTCCATTTTAATCTTATTCTCATTCTTTTCTTTCTTCTTTAAAGGAGATAGGGCTCCCAAACTAGTGAGAGGCATAAAAAAAGAAAACAAAAGAAAATAATAAATAAATAAATAAATAAATAATTCAGGGCCTTACTATGTTGCCTAGGCTGGAGAGCAGTGGCTAATCCTCTCACCTCAGCCTCCTGAGGATCTGAGACTACAGACACGTGTCACTATGCCCAGCTTTCTTTATCAGTCTAGAAATAAGATCCATACAGCCTCATGCTTTCATTGGAAGTCACTTCCCTCAATACAACATAAATGACCTGTCCTGAAAGCTCCAGCAGAGCAGGCCGAAATCACATCACTGCACACCCAATCTCTCTCAGTCCTCAGCATATGGAGAGAGACTCAATCAAACTGTGTTGAATGAACAAACAGAGGCTCAAAGACACCAATCATATTTATTTAAATAGTCTTTTCATCTTCACAGGCTGTCATCTATTTAAGTATTTCAAGGTTTTTAGAGTCAGTAAAAATCAATGTAAAAAGATATAATTTAAAATCTCCAACCGTAAGAAATTCTCAAAAATGCTTTTAAGCAAATTACTAGGAATCTATTTTAGTTATTTGTAAAATATCTGTTATGTATACTTAAAAAAAAGATCCACGTTTTGAAACAAGGATTCTATTCCATGTTAATGTATATTTTCCATCACGAAGTAACATAAAAAGAATTTTATATACAACATTATCTGATTAAGTTAAATCATTTAAAGAATAAAAGTTTGTTCTTTAATGACTTTAGAGTAAGTATAATGAAACTGTGTTTAAATATTTTTAAAATAAAGTTAATATTAGTGTTAACTCTTTGAGAAGCAAATAACTCCACAGTGTTAATCATTAGTTAAACTTCTAGCTAATATAATTATCAAGTTAATATTTAAATTAGTGATAGATTGGATTCTTAGCAGTCACATATATTAAATTATATGTCTATAACAGCTGGGTGCGATAGCTCACGCCTGTAATCCCAACACTTTAGGAGGACTGCTTGAGGCCAGGAGTTTGAAACCAACCTGGACAACATAGTGAGACCCCACCTCTACAAACTACAATATAATACAATAATTATGTTTTAAATATCTTAAGAGATGTACATGATTAGAATTTTATTCATGTGAACAATGTTTTGTTCAAAGAGTTTTGCTTTTTCTGTTGGAAAAGCTTCTCCATTACCTGGTGTGCAGCTCTGGAAGATTTAGAAAACTGTTTCTCCAAGATACTCTTCAAATCTGCTGGTAAAGTCAATGGTGAACTACAACTAAAAGGAAAAAAAACATTTTTAAAAATCATTTTAAAATAAAACAGTTCTACTCATATAAAGAAAAAAAAAAAACAGGCACAGTAGCTCACACCTGTAACCCCAGCACTTTGGGAGGCCGAGGCGGGTGGATCACCTGAGGTTAGGTGTTCGAGACCAGCCTGACCAACATGGTGAAATCCTGTCTCTACTAAAAATACAAAAATTAGCCTGGTGTGGTGGTACATGCCTGTAATCCCAGCTACTTGGGAGGCTGAGGCAGGAGAACTGCTTGAGCTCAGGAGGTGGAGGTTGCAGTGAGCCGAGATCACACCACTGCACTACAGCCTGAGCGACAGAGCAAGACTCCATCATCTAAAAAAAAGAAAGAAAAAAATATAGAATCTCAATATTAGTTCACTCTCATCCCTCCAATGTGACAGAGAGAAGAAAAAAATATATTTACTGAAGGCCATGTAAAATACTGAGTAAATGGTAAGCCATACAAGTTGGCCATTCTTTTGGGGGGAATTGGCATTTTGGCAATATTTCTATTAGAAATTTCTATACTCAATGCAATCTGAATAAACATTCCTATAAAATCAGAGGTGGAGGGAAACCAGATGAATTGATTATAAAGAAAATATGGAAAAGCAGCTTTTGAAAAAAGAGAAAAATTAAGGGGTATTTGCCTTGATCTGCAGTCACTAGTAACAACATTGTCCTAAAACAATAAATGTGCCCAATAAACAGTGCAAAGATGTTCAATGTGATGGGAAAATCTAATAATAAGATATAAGCATTTCAGGATGTCTGATTCCCTAAGTTGGTGAGAGTAAGAAAATCTGAGGCACTTGATGTGGAGTTTTCTGAAAGCCCTTCTGACATCAGATGTATAGATTTTTTCCAATACCAAATATTGTCATTTTTCCATATCAATTCAACTGCCCAACACAAAATGAGTGTGCAATAATGCAATTCAGTTCTGATACTAACTCCCAGAGTTAGCGCAGAGCTCACAGGGTAAAGAATCAGTCCCACCAGACTGCCCTCACTTCAGCTGCAAGTGGGGTACACAGGTTACCCACACTCCTGCCCTGCTGACTATAAGAGGGTTCCCATGATTCCCTCTTCAAGCTCACTAGAAAAACACATGGAACTCAAGGAAGTGCTTGCTATTGCCAATTTATTATAAAGGATACAACTCACAAACAGCCTAGAGGAAGAGATGTATAGGAAGGTTGGGGAGTGCGAGGAGCTTTGTGCTCCCCTTGGGCATGCCGCTTTCCCAGCACATCAATGCATTCGTCAACCTAGAAGCTCCCCAAGCCCTCTTTTAAGGATTTTACTAAGGTTTCATTATGTAGGTATGTAGGTACAATTAACCACTGGCCACTGGTGCCTAACCTCAATTTCCAGCCCCCCTCCCCTCCTTGGAGGTCAGGTATGAGGCTGAAAGTCTTAGCCCTCTAATCAGGTGCTTGGTCTTTACGGTAACTAGACCTCCTCCTGAACTATCTGAGGCACTACTTTGAGTCACCTCATTAGCATAAACTCAAATACATGGAAAGGGGCTCATGATGAGTAACAAAATATACTCATATCATTCAGGAAATTCCATGGGCTTTGGGAGCTCTGTACCAGGAACTGGGACAAATACCAAACACACGTATTTTTTATTACACCGCACCCTCTTGTAGATTAGCAGGAGTGTGAACAGTGCCCATTTTCTGAGAGAACAATTTGGCAATATCTGTCAAAGTTAAAATTACACGTCCCCTTTGATACAGCAATCCCACTATAGAAACAACTTCTACACATTATTTACAAAGTATTTATTGTAAATATACATCAACAGGTGCACAAAGGTGCATGTGCAAGGATGTTTGAAGTACCATATGATTTATCCCTCTAAAGGAGGAAAGAAAGAAAGGAAAGAAAGAAGAAAAAGAGAGAGATGGAGAGAGGGAAAGAAAGTGAGGGAGTAAAAGAGGAAGGAAGAGCCTAAATGCACAAAAATAGGGGATACGGCTATATTACAAAATACTGTGCAGCAAATGAAGAATGGAAGAGCTCTGTGTTCTGAACATGGGAAGAAACACAAGATATTTTGTAAAAGACAAAAAAGCAAGCTGTAGGTCAGAGTCATTCTAATAACAATGAAAATGATGGTGACAGCAATAATGACAGCTGAAGTACACTGAAGATTTACTATGTTCCAGGGCTCTAAGTGTTTTATGTGGTTATCCCATTTAATGATGAAATAGTCCCATATGGTAGATATTATTAAATAAGGAGTGTTCGGTTTGAAAAGAGAAACAGAATATCAGAAAAATAAATTTTTTTTTAATAAAACAGGTTAAAATTACAATCCTGCATTCAAAAAATGACCATGTATTAAGCTCTGGTTTCTTTAGGGGTACAGGGGAAGGCAGGGAAGAAGACTCATGATTTTTCTATCAAATAATAGAAAAACATAATAATATGCTATATCCTTGCTTTGTATTTAATTTTTGTAGCAGCATCCAAAAATGGCCATTTTTGAAAAGAAATGAGATTTCACTGACTTTTTTTAGTGTTTTGATATTCAAATAATTCTCCCTGAAGCATCTATTATGGATTCAGATTAAGAAATGGAGAAGAAATTGAAAACCAGTGTATTGTGGCAGACATGGCTTTGCTATTTCTCCAACATCACTTTCATTCACTTCAAAAACTTCTGTATTAAAAGATTTACAATTTCACATTGTAATCAATTTATATCTTGTTGGCAATGGGGTATTAACTATAAAGATAGGAGGCAAGGCCAGGCACACGCCTGGAATGCCAGCACTCTGGGAGGCCAAGGCAGAAGGATCACTTCAGGCCAGGAATTCAAGACCAGCCTGGGCAACAGAGCAAGACCCTGTCTCTAAAAAAAATTTATTTTTAATTACCCAGGCATGGTGACATGCACCATAGTAGCAGTAGTAGTCCCGGCTACTTGGGAGCTGAGGCAGAAAAATCACTAGAGCCCAGGAGTTCAAGGCTGCAGTGAGCTAGGGTCACACTACTGCACCACAGCCTAAGTGATAGAGCAAGACCCTATCTCAAAAAAAAAAAAAAAAGATAGCAGGCAATTAATTACAGTTAATTTTCATGGGGATGTTTGATAGAATTCATTTTATAAGTAGTCAGAATTCATTAGGAAATATTTTCCTCTAACGATAATTACTCAAAAGGGTATCTGAAATATGCATACCCATGGCTGTATATGCAGAGTAACTTTCCCAATAGTCATGAAACTGTTAACAGTGCATTCCTAGAGGCCCTAGGGAAGGGACTGCAGGAGGGGTCAAATGAGGTGAGCAAGGAAGGAGGTTTCATGTGCATCTTGTATCTCTCTCAATGCTTTTTCCTTTTAGCGTACATATTCTGGAATTCAAAAAATTAATATGGACATATTAAATATTACATGACTTTCAGAAGTCAACATATTAATATCCAGGATTAATAATCCTTTAGCCAAAAATTATCATTTCCTAAAGATATGCTTTTGATATTTGAAAGGGATTTTGGTACTCATCATATTACATACATTAAAGTAGCTAACACTCAAAAAATAATCTTTTTTTTCCTTTTACTCGGGGAGAGTACGCTAGGGGGAAAAAAACACACCTTAGAGAAAAAACATACCTGAACTTCTCTGATTCATTGTTTCGAGATTTTTGTTTTCCTTTATGTTTTGGAGGCTGACCTGTGAACATAAAAGTATTTGTTCCTGAAATCTGTACATAAAAATCTACAAGCCTGGGAGTAAAACTATTTTTAAAACATAAACTGGAGTAAGAAAACAGAAGCGGCAATATGGTATGTGAGTATAACTACAAAACGGCAAGCCAAAAAAGAAGCTACTGATGATATTTTTCTATCCATAATAAATTATTAAATATAATCAATTATTAAAGATCAATTATAATAGTGATCATTATTATAATTTAGGTCCACCATAGATACAGAGAGATACAGGGGATAACTTCTGTTCTCAGACAGCTTACAATCAGATAGGGTGAAAAGACACATCACTTCAGTAGTTAACAATCACCCTTATGAAGAAAAGAAAGTACTGTGTTGTTATTGACATGTTAATTGCATAGTCAGTAATACCTCTCACAGCTCACAAAAGGGAAAAATCACTTAAGCTGGAGTGGTTGAGAAAAATGTTAGTGAGGATATAGCATTTGTGTTTGGTTTTGAGGAAGAAGTACGATTTGGATAGAATGGCCTGAACCCAAGAGCAGAGTTCATTTCAGAAGCACTAAGTAAACCTGTGTGATTTCAAGACCTCAAAAAGGGTGGAAGGCTGGAAAAGGGCTGCTAAGGCAGGCTGAGGTGAGTGTTTACAGACCCTTAGCTTCAGATGCAGCTCTGTGAGCCCAGCTTTATTCTGCTGGCAGGAATAGGAAACCATTGCATATTTTTGGGCAGGGAGAGCCCTGCTCGGAGCTGTGTAGAAGAACTGGTACGGCAGGAGGAGCAGGGTGCATCTGATGAAGGTTTAAGGGGAGGGCACAGAGACAAGTCAGAGCCAATGTAATAAGGACGGAATGAGCCTGGGCTTTGGTGGCCTCAGAAAACAAAAGCAGCTTTTGGAAAGGCAGAAGAATTCTAGTTTGATTTCCATTCTGTGACCTTGGACAAAACTACTTAACCTTAACCCTGGAACCTCAATTTCTTCCCCTGTATGTAAATGCTGAAGGGTAGACAGAATTTATTTAATTAAATGATAATAATGGCCTGAGAAATATCAAGACATTAAAAGCTATCTTCCAAAAAAAAAGTTTTATCCTCAAAGATGTTTCATATGCTGTTGGAATTGCATCAGGTAGGACAACTGCCTGAGTTTCCCCTCCCTGTCATGATGCTAATGTGCTAACCAAATGGAAATGCTCGTTATTAAGTAGCTATATCTATGGAACTAACTGAGCCTGAGCAAACATGAAGCTGCAGGTCACAAAAAATAGAAATGGCTGCTAGAAGCAAAACGATGGAAAGAAAAACCAACCACCCAACAAACAAGAGAAGGGAAAAGAGAGGATCGTTAACTAAAAAATCAACAATCTCACCTTAAGAATCCTGGGACGAACACTTTCAGGCTTGAGGTCAGTCACTGTTGTGCGTGACCACAACCTTAAGCCATCAAGAAAACCTGTATTTTCCTAAATCTCGTGTTAAAAGGCAGGGAAGCATGTAATATACTTTAGAAAGATTTTCTTCAAACTCTGGTGGTATTAAGATTCAGAAATGAATGAAGCACAAAAATATTCACTTCTCCAGAACCTTCATCTCCAAATGATGCCAAGTAATGAGGTTCTGCGGTATCTGTGCTTACTAGATACGTAAATAAATACATGCACTGAGCACACACAACTTAAAACAAATGAGACTTAGCCTACAGCACTGTTATGGTCTGGACATCTGTGTCCCTCACAAGATTCACATGTTGAAATCCAAATCCTCAAGGCCATGGTAATAGGAGGTGGAACCTTTGGGAGGAATTAGGTCATGAGGCTGTCCCCTCATGCATGGGATTAGTGCCCTTATAAGAAGACACCCCAGGCTGGGCGTGGTGGCACACGCCTGCAATCCCAGCACTTTGGGAGGCTAAGGCGGGAGGACTGCTTGAAGCCAAGATTTCGACACCAGCCTGGCCAGCGCGGCAAAACCCTGTCTCTACTAAAAATACAAAAATTAGCCTGGCGTGGTGGTGCATGCCTGTAATCCCAGCTACTCGGGAGGCTGAGGCAGGAGAATTGCTTGAACCCATGAGGCGGAGGTTGCAGTTAGCCCAGATCATGCCACTGCACTCCAGCCTGGGCAACAGAGCAAGACTCTGTCTCAAAAAAAAGAAAACGAAAAGAGACCCCAGAGGGCTGTCTTGCCCCCTTCTACTACATGAGGACATGGCAAAAAGATGGCCATCTATGAACCAGGAAGAGGACCTTCAGCAGACATCAAATCTGTTGACATCATGATGATGAATTTCCCAGCTTCTGGAAATGTGAGAAATAAATGTTTGTTGCTTGTAAGCTATCCAGTTTATGGTATTTTTGTTATAGCAGCATCCATTCTCAACATGGGTGATACCACCCCCAATAGGGCGAAAATTAGTTATTGGGAGACAATATCAATTATTTTCACACATAAAGCACAGATGCACATATGGTACATAAACAGCTATTAAAATTTTATGGGGGAGAACAATTAGATTTAAAAAGGTCTAAACAGGCTCCTAGCAGGTGGGAGGAAGGGAGGCAATAATAAACTTTCAATAAGGAGAAACAACAGCCTAAAAAAAATTAAGAAGCAGGTCAAAAAGAGCTATGTACTTCATCTTTTCCTTTCCTTTCAAAAAAAATTCCAAAATTACATTTACTAAATAATATTAAAAGACTGAGCATTGATTTCAAATAAATATTCAACAATTTCTTAACATAGAAGCATTATAAAGTAAAGGAGAACAAGAGTGGATATAAGCAAGGCTTGTGCAAATTGTAGGGCATCCAAGTTTAGGAGACATTATATTAACTTGGCAACAATTGATATAAAAACAATACTCACTTGATGGTGGTGAAAATTCAGGATAACAGTCACAATCATCTACCTTCAACACCTCATCCACCACCTGCCAATGAAAATTAGTGAGACTCTAAAAACAAAAACTAAAACCCAGCCATGAAGAATTCAATAGCCATATAAAAGAATTTAGAATAGAACAGGATAGAATTAACCCAAGCATCTAAAATATGCAGCTGGTTATTAAGCCTAAATATATAAACAAACAAAAAAAAAGGTAACTAATGATAAGGATTATGATACGCAAGGACGAATTCTTGAATGACAAAAAAAAATCTGTTGCCTAGCACAATGCCTGATGTGACAATTGTTCAGTAATACCTGAATTAACACTATCACATCTGTACATAAAAATCTGCAAGCCTGAGAGTAAAACTATTTTTAAAATATAAATTGGAGGAAGAAAACAGAAGCAGCAGCTGGGCGTGGTGGCTCACGCCTGTAATCCCAGCACTTTGGGAGGCCGAGGCAGGCGGATGATGGGGTCAGGAGATCGAGACCATCCTGGCTAACATGATGAAACCCTGTCTCTACTAAAACTACAAAAAAATTAACCGGGTGTGGTGGCGGGAACCTGCAGTCCCAGCTACTTGGGAGGCTGAGGCAGGAGAATGGCATGAACCCAGGAGGTGAAGCTTGCCGTGAGCGGAGATCGTGCCACTGCACTCAAGCCAGGGCAACAGAGCAAGACTCCATTTCAAAAAAAAAAAAAGAGAAGCGGCAATATGGTACTCGTGAGTATAACCACAAAAGGGTAAGCCAAAAAAGAAGCTACTGATATTTTTCTATATATAATAAATTATTAAATATAATCAATTATTAAAGATCAATTATAATAGTGATCATTATTATGATTTAGGTCTACCATAGATACAGAGAGATACAGGAGGTAACTCCTGTTCTCAGATAGTTTACAATCAGATGGGGTGAAAAGACACATCACTTCAGTAGTTAAACAACAATCATCCTTAAGAAGAAAAGAAAGTACTGTGTTATTATCGACATGTTAATTGCATAGTCAGTAATACCTCTCACAGCTCACAAAGGGGAAAAATCACTTAAGCTGGAGTGGTTAAGAAAAATGTTAGTGAGGATATAGCATTTGTGTTTGGTTTTGAGGAAGAAGTACGATTTGGATAGAATGGCCTGAACCCAAGAGTAGAGTTCATTTAGAAGCACCAAGTAAACCTGTGTGATTTCAAGACCTCAAAAAGGGTGGAAGGCTGGAAAAGGGCTGCTAAGGCAGGTTGGGGTGAGTGTTTACAGACCCTTAGTTTCAGATCCAGCTGGAAATGCTCAATACAATTCCAGATCCAGCTGGAAATGCTCAGTATAAACTCCTCTCCCTAACTGAACAGTTTCTTAGAAATTTTCAATGTTATCAACAAGAGGACTTTTCCAACAACCGAAGGAAGACGATACAAAGAGAAGTAAGTGACAAAATGGTTATTTTTAAAAATATTTTGAAAACACATAAATGTGATTTCAAAATAAATTCTGTGACTTTCAAATATTATATTTATGTAGTTGTATGAGATACTCAGATTATTTATTATAAAAAGAATCATTCTTTTGGTAACAATAGGCAAAAAGGGTTCAAATCGCCAAAAATTTGGTTTCTATTACCACCAAAATATTACTGTAAAAATATGAGACTATCTATACTTGAAAAAAACTGTAGTTTTCAATGGAGCTTACCTTTAGATTCTGATTACCACCGTTGGCCATTTCGTGATTAATTTTTCTGAAATCTCTTTCCTTCTCCACAAAGTTAAGTGAAGTTGCAAATACAGGTGCTGATAAATTCCTAGGTGTGTAGGCCCTAAGTGGGGGAAAAAAGAAATGAATTATTATACATTTTTAAAAAGTTATCCTTTGAATGAACAGGTTGCAGCAATCACAGCCTTTTTTCCTTGAAAGCAAGGTATTATTGTTTTAAAAAGATTTTCTACCTGTGAGATGGAGCTTTATACATAAACATTATTTTAAATTTGGTATTAAACTCAAAATAAAGAAAGAACAGTTCAAGGGCCGGGTGCAGTGGCTCACGCCTGTAATTCCAGCACTTTGGGAGTCCAGGGCAGGTGGATCAGCTAAGGTCAGGAGTTCGAGATCAGCCTGGCCAACATCGTGAGACCCCATCTCTACTAAAAATACAAAAATCGGCCAGGTGTGCTGGCAAGTGCCTGTAATCCCAGCAACTGGGGAGGCTGAGGCAGGAGAACTGCTTGAACCCAGTAGACGGAGGTTGCAGTGACCTAAGATTGTGCCACTGCACTCCAGCCTAGGTGACAGAGAGAGACTCTGTCTCGGGGGAAAAAAAAAAAAAACACTTCAAAAAAAAGCATTCTGGGTTCTAACATTTAAATACTAGCCAGGTGCGGTGGCTCAGACTGGGTACAGTGGCTCACTCTTGCAATCTCAGCACTTTGGAGGCCAAGGCGAGCAGATCACTTGAGGTCAGGAGTTTGAGACCAGCCTGGCCAACATGGTGAAACCCCATCTCTACCAAAAATACAAAAATTAGTCAGGCATGGTGGCAGTTGCCTGTGGTCCCAGTTACTCGAGAGGCTGAGGCAGGAGAATCACTTGAACCCAGAGGCAGAGGCTGCAGTGAGCCAAGATCACATCACTGCATTCCAGCCTGGGTGACAGAGTGAGACTCCGTCTCAAAAAAATTTAAAAAACAAACAAAAAAACCTATGTCCTTGTGTTAAATTTAAATATCCTAATTTAAATTAGGATACTAAAATTAAATTTAAAGATTCCACAGCCAATTTCTTTATGTCTACATGTTCAGCATGCTACAGAATGAGGAGCTTCAATATCCCAGACATCTGAACAAGCATGCAGAAAAACATTTAATCTGTTTTAATTGCCAAATAAGCAAAGGTACAACCCTGGTTGCTATTGTTTTCTTGTGAGCATACTCAAGTCTGTCTGTTGCCTATTTCTAATAGGAAGTATCTTAGCCTTTGAAAGACATCAGGAAGCTGGAAGTATTAGGTTGGTCCAAGAGTACTTGTGGTTTTTGCCATAGATGTTTCCATGACAGAGGTGAAGGGCAGAGGGCACAGGATATGTCCCAGCTCTCTGCTGCCAGGAGCTTCATGGCCAAACTGGTCCCATTCAAGCATAGTAACATCCAATTAACATTTCACCCCTCTTTTCCCACAGGATTAGGCTACTGAGCTTATATCTACATGGTTCAGTAAAACAGCAAAATAAATCTGACAACTTACAGGTCACCTGATAACACAGGCACTTAAAAAACTACCTGTCTTCCTTCCATCTCCAACTTTACTGTGGTTGCTATTAGCTCCTAAAGCATCAAACATAAGTGATTCTTAAATTCATGGAGCAAAGCCACTCCTAGCAGCAGCTACTGACCTGCTATTAACTTACCGGTTTTCGTAAAAGGCTTTAATTGTATCCTTATTTGCTGTTCGACCTATAAAAGTCAATCACACACACATACACATAGTAATCAATGGATTGGCAACATAGACTTTAAAAGATTTTCAAATTTACTTTAAGCTGATAATAAGGAACATCAAATTTAGAAAACTGAAAAGTAAACCTAAGCAATTTTACATTTCTAGATGTCTTTAGTTTTAGGATGGTGTCAACAAAATGTTACATAAACTTTGTCTGACATTCCATCACATGTGATCACTGACAAGTTGACAGCAACATGTAAATCTGAATCAGAGGCGGTACCTGTCTTCAAGGAACTCACAATCTTATTATATAATCATGTTATGATGGATAACAACATCTGCCAGTCAAACAGAGCTGTTCAGCTCAGCATTGTACGACCCGAAGAAGAAAAAGCAGGAAAGACTCATACACTCAAAGTGTAGATTAAGGGATTTTAGGCATTGGAGAAAGCAAAAAGACTTAGTAGAGAAAACAAGGGCAGAATGAAAATCTACAACTCCTAGCCTGCACAGCCAATTTCTGCTATATATATAAAAAACATTACATATACATATGTTCAGCACACTATAGAATTAGCACAAACAGTGCAGAAGCATCAAGCAGCTCTACTGAAGGGTCTTTTCTTTAGGAAATAACTTTAGTAATGAAGGAAGTATTTTTAAATAATTTTGTTTCAAAAAGTTTTAATTTTATTCAAAATTTCTGAAAGGGATTTTTTTTTCTACAGAAGAACAAATAATAACAATTTAGTTGCTATCTGTTTCAAATAAATTTTTTTTTTCATTTATAATTACCTAATGGATAACATGTAACTCTACACAGATAGAAATGAAAAACTCAAGTGCCATGACCAAGATAACATGATAAAATAAGGATAAATCATCTGAGGATTGATTTGTGGTCCTCTGTTAATACAAGAAATCCAACTTCCAAAGTCTGAAAGAGAATTAGACTGTAAGCAAAAGAATCTTAGGTGAAATACCTTGTAGGTCTTCTATTTGTTTTTGTAACTTTACATGCTGCTGAATTAGATCCTTGATTCCCTCAGGGTCATTTTTACAGAGTTTTTGAGCTTTTATGTTTGCTTGCAGGGCCCAGTCATATTCCCCCAGCATAGAAAGAGCATCACAATAACGATAATGACCCTGTTCCAAAAAGATAAATTTAATTTTTTCTCAAAAATATGCTTAAAGAAAACAGGCAAGGAACACTATTTTGCTTGAAAACTGATTCATTACTTAAAATATTAGATTAGGTCCCTACCAATGAAAAATAAATTTAAAATGTTAGTACCTCAGGAAATAAAATTACCTAAAGAGCTAAGTGAAAAGTTATAAATAGACAAATAATTACAATAACTAAGGATCAATATTTTTGCTTAAGAAATTTCTGTACCCCCAGGAAAGAGTTCAACTTTTGTTATATTTTGCTAACAGAGAATATAATAATTTTGTGCCAGATAAAGTAAAAAAAGTCATTCATTATAAATAACTTCATGTTTTTAATATATTTGAAGGCAGTAAGTCTCCAAGTCATCGTCTTTCCTACACCTGGAAATGGAGAAGTTTTTAGAGCTGGATGGAACCATCGGCCTGTGCTGTGGTTTTCCGATACCTCTGAACCTCCTGGGGTCAAATGATTCTCCTGCCTCAGCCTCCTTGCCTCAGCCTCCTGAGTAGCTAGAACTACAGGCATGCATCACCACATCCAGCTAATTTTTTTGTATTTTTTTGTAGAGACGGGGTTTCACATGTTGGCCAGGCTGGTCTCAAACTCCTGACCTCAAGTGATCTGCCCACCTCGGCCTCCTAAAGTGCTAGGATTACAGGTGTGAGTCATCACGCCTGGCATCTAAAGCTTCACTTAAAAAAAAAAAATGGAGATTTTTACAGTTTAGGAAAATACAGAGACTAATACACAGATACCCAGAATTAACTGTTAACATTTTGTTATATTTGCTTCTGATTTTTTAATGAAAGAAATAAAACTATTTCTGATGATACAGATACGGCTGAAATCTCCTTTGCACCCTCTCCAATCTCTTTTCCCTCTCTTACTGCCCGGAAGCAAACACTATCATGAACTTGATAGATATTTTTCCAGCCTATGTTTTACTTTTTCATTTAACACTTTTAAAAATCCATAAATGTTGATAAGCCAGTTAATTCAACTGCAATCTACTATTTGATTCATTCAATCACTAAGTCAACAATTATTTACTAATGAGTGCCTGCTAAGTGTCAGGCAGCTAGTTAGACAGTCTGGATTCAAGAGTGAAGTGAACCAAACACCAAAAAAATCTTTCCTTGCGGAGCTCATATTATACTGGAAGACATACACAATAGCCAATAAAAAAAAAACAGTAGATATCATGTATTCAATAATGGTAAGTCCAAAGAGGAAAAAAGTAAAGCAGGGAAAGAAGATAAGAAATGCATAGGAAGTGAGGTGTTTGGCATTTTAGTAATGTGGCCAGGGAATGTTTCACTGAGAAGAGTCCTTTCAATACCAACTGAAAGGAAAAAAGGGGGCTGGCCAATGCTCTGGGGAAAAGCATTCCAGGCAGAGGGAAGGGCAAGTACAAAGTGTAAGTGGGCCTGGCATGTCTAAGGAACAGTGAGGATGCCAAGGGCCAACATAAAGTGAACCAGGGACAGAACAGGAGGAGTGAGGTTGGAGAAATAACAAGTGTTCAAGACGGGGACAGATCACACAGGTCAGAGTAACAACTTTGCTCAAGTGAAAATACCACATTTATTTGCTGCTTTATCAACAGACATGTAGGTATTTGCAGTAGTATGCCATTAAAACAATGCTGCAATGACCAACCTTGTATATCTTACCATGTGTATATTTGCTAGAAATTTTCTAGGGTACACACACTCAGAACCAAGTAACTGTGGAGTCTATCATAATGCTCCCTCAGTTGTTGTAAGCAATCACGCTCCCACCAGTTTACTGGGGCTTCCTGTTACTACACATACCCACCAACACTCAGGACAATCAGCCTCTTTAATTTCTGCCAATCTGAAGGACTCAAACAATATGACACTGTAAAATTTACTCACATAGTGGGTTCTGTGTGGAGGCCCTCTATTCTGTACTATTGGTTTCATTTTTCTGTGTACCAAATCCCTACAATTTTAATTACTAGGAAATAGAAATAGTTTCTTATTTCTATTGGCCATTCAGGATTACTCTTCCGTGAAATGCTTACTTGTTTTACTGGCCCATTTTCTACTGGGTTTCTTATTTACTTTAGGAATTATGTGCATATTCCGGCTATAAATCCTACCAGTTATATATGTGGCAAATTATCTCCTCTCAAACTACTATTTCATCTATGGTGTCTTTTGACATACGCAAGTTTTTAAGTTTTATATAGCCAAATATATCAAGATGGTTTTTTTCACTGCTGATTTGTGCAGTGTGTGTTAAGAAACCTTTTCCTGCCTCCTATAATTTTTTTCTCCTACAGTTCCTTCCCAGTTTTAAGTGGTTTTTCACACTCAGGCACACCCACTCAGAATATGTATAGACAACCTCTCAATCACTAAGGCACCCCGAAGGCTCAAGATGCCCACAGGCCGCCTGTCCTCATACACAGCCTGTCACTGCTGTGGCTGGGTCCCCATGCTGATCATGGATCTCATGACTGCCCTTTCACATTCTGGAGCTCTATGTCATTTCATATAGCATTTTTATGAACAAACACACCCAGTAAACAGATTTTTCACAATGTTGTATGGCATTATTTGCTCAAAGTAAAATACAGAAGAAACCTACCTTTGGCCAAGTGTTCTTCAGAATAGTGGCTCTCTTTCCATCACCGAGTGCATTTCTAAAAAGAAAAACAATCAAGTATTTAAAATTTTTCACTCTTTTTTAGTAAAAGTATTATATCTTGCATATGTATACTTTGTGAATTTTCCATGTATATTATCTAGTCAAAAGATAATTTTAATTTTTAAAAATCCATATAATATACGTCCATTATAGGAAATTTGGAAAATACAGAAAAATAAAACAAAGGGAAAAAGTCACCCAGAGTCACAATCACAACTACCCAGGAATAACTACTTTTAATATTTCTGAAGTATTTCTTGCACACATCAACATCGTATCTATGCATAGCATTCTTTTTTTTTTTTTTCTTTTTCTTTTTTTTTTGAGATGGAGTCTCGCTCTGTTGCCCAGGCTGGAGTGCAGCGGCGTGATCTTTTTTTTTTGCAACCTCTGCCTCCCGGGTTCAAGTGATTCTCCTGTCTCAGCCTCCAGAGTAGCTGGGATTACAGGTGCATGCCACCACACCCGGCTAATTTTCTGAATTTTGAGTAGGGACAGCGTTTCACCGTGTTAGCCATGATGGTCTTGATCTCTTGACCTTGTGATCCACCTGCCTCGGCCTCCACCTGCCTCGGCCTCCAAAAGTGTTGGGATTACAGCGTGAGCCACCATGCCCAGCCTATAACGTTCTTATTTGTACGTTTTTCTGTACTATTTCTGCATGTCAGTAAGACTTTCCAGATGTATCACTACCAGGTCTTTCACACAACATCAGTTAAGCTACACTGAAAAGAGCATGGAAGCTAGACCATAAGACCCGGGTTAAGTCTAATTTAATCACTAATTTTCTTGGGGCTATTAGGGAGTTATTAACATCTCTGGGCCCATTTTTCTCATCTGTAAAATGTGAATAATTCTGTTCTAACTGTTCTGAGGTAGATATTAAATTAGATACTACATTATTAAATTACTTTCATAACCTATCAAGTGCTAACAGATCCATACCACAGTCTATCAGTTTCCTGGCTTCCTTATCTTCAATGACTTCCACCTCTAGCCCAACTCAGCCACCCATCACTGCACCCCTGGAACTTAGCATCACTCAAAACTGTTCAAACTTCAAACTGTTCAATCACTAATTCAGGTATCCAACTCCCACTATAACCTAGGTTGTCCCATTTAACTTGTTCAACTGTTCCTATCTCCTCAGGGTACCCAACTCACTGACTTATTCACCTACTTTTTTCAACATAGATTAAGATTTGCTGGTTCATCATTTCACATTCATATTTATGCTAATTCATCACTATTAAAGAGATTTCAAGGAAGAACTAGATAACTTATACTACCAGATATCAATACCTACTAAAAGGTTACATTAAAAAAAAAAAACCCAACTAGATGAGGATAACCTGACCAACAAAACAGACTAAAGAAACTAGAAATAGATTCTTACACATAATCACCTGATTCATGACAAAGGTAATACTGCAGTACATGGAGAAAATATACTCTTTTAATAAATGGTACTGGGTCAATTGGACATCCATATCTTTTCTTCTTTTTTCTTTCTTTTTTTTTTGAAACAAGGTCTCGCTCTGTCACCCAGGCTGGAGTGCAGTGCCAGTCCCTCTCACCACAGCCTTGACATCACAGGCTCAAGCACTCCTCCCACCTCAGCCTCCTGAATAGCTGGTACTATAGGCATGTGCCATCATGCCTAGCTAATTTCTGGCTAATTTCTGAATTTTTTGGAGAGACAGGGTCCCATTATGTTGCCCAGGATGGTCTCAAACTCCTGGGCTCAAGCAATGGTATTTGTCAAGTGGGTGGTATTTGTCAAAGTTCCTGCCTTGTCCTCCCAAAGTGCTGGGATTACAAGCGTGAGCCACTGCTTCTGGCCCATATGAATCTTGAACACTATCTCACACTAAATACAAACACCAGGTCCAGATGGACTGCAGATCTGTACATTAAAGTTGAACAATCAAACCTTTAGACGAAACACAGAGAATCTGGTGACCTTTGAATAGGTAAAGACGATAAACAGAACACAAAAAGAGCTTATCATAGAGAAAAACCGATAAACTGTACTACATTAAAATTAGTAACTTGTTTGTGAAAACATCGACAGTGAAAAGGCAAGCCACTGAGTGTGAGAAGATATTCGCAATACATATATCTGACCAATGACTCGTATTCAGAATACAAAAGAAAAACTCCTAAAAATGAATAAGGCATTCTACTCAAGAGAAAAAAATAGCAAAAGACTTAAACAGGCACTTCACAAAAGAGAATATCCAAATGGTCAATAACCTTATGAAGATCTGAAATATCCTTAATCAATTTATGAAAATGGAAATTATAATCACAGTGGTATGCCACCATCACCCACCAGAATGTCTAAAATAAAAGATGAAAAATAGTAAGTGTTGGTGAGGGCACAGAACTGAAACTCATATGCTGCTCTAAGAGTACAAAATGATACAATCACACAGGAAAGCTAAATGCATATAAGCATACCCTCTGTTCCAGCAATTCCACTCCTTGATTATACACATACGAAATGAATACGTATGTTCACAACAATACTATCTGCAAAAGTCAAATACAAGAAGCTACCCAAATGCCCATCAACAATAGAATGGATAAAATGTGGTATATTCATGCAATCAATGAACACTTTACAACTACATGCAACAATATGGATCTCAAAAACAATGCTGAAAACCAAACAGAAAAGAACACATCGTATATTATTTCATTATATTGCACTAAAATAGGCAAAATTAACCACCAGAAGCCAGGCTAGTAGTTATCCTGGGGGAGGAGGTGGGTCATGACTAGGAGGAGGAACAAGAGGAACTTCTGGGGTACCGGGGTTGTGATCTGCGCGCTGGTTACAGTTGTTTGACTTCCGAAAATTCGATCTACACTTAACACTTGTATACTTTTCAGCATGTGTATTAAGATTTTTTTAAAAGGACATAAGACAAAGTTGTCCTTCTTCTGCTGAAGACGTCTGAATTACAGCAGCCATCCTTCATTCTGAGGGGACAGCCTGAGGACCAAGTCACACACTGAGGCTGGAAAAATCTAAGTCTCTGATGACATTTTTGAGCCACTGAATATACAACCTAGCACACCACCTTCTTCTGGAACTCTTGAATAAGGTAAGTTTTCTTTACCATTTAAAGAGACTCACACTGGGTCTCTCTCCCCAAATACCTTTAAAAGCTGCCTATGCTAGCTGTCTCCATTTCCTCGCATTTCTCAACCCCATCTAATTGGCATCTGTTCCAAGCACTGACAGCTTTCCCTATGGTTACTGAATGACATCCATGTGGCCAAATCTAAGTTCCACTGTAACTGGCTTCTCAGTAGCCAACAGACACTGCTGACCATTCTTTTACTTACTTCTGACACCACACTTAGTCTTCGTTCCATCTCTCTGGTCACCTTTTAATACTCTTCTGGGCAGGCTCATCCTTCTCCAACTGGTCACGTGTGTTCAAGGCTCAATCCTGATTCCTCTCCTAGTCTCAGCCTAGGTTCTCTCTAGGCCAGTGGGTCTCAACCTTGACTGCACACCATCTGGGGAGCTCCTAGAAGCCCAATGCCCAAGCTTTACTCTAGATTAATTGAATCAGAATCTCTGGGGTGGGTGGTATTTGTCAAAGTTCAGTGATTCCAAAGTGCAGTCCAGGTTGAGGAACACTTCTGTAAGCAATCTCACCCACAACTTCAAATCATGGACTAACTATCCCAAACATGTCTCCCGTCCAAACTCTCCCTTGAGTTCCAGACCCATATGACTCACTAGCTATACAACATTGCACTTTGGATGCCTCAAAGGCACTGGGTTTTGTTTTGTTTTTTGTTTTTTTTTGAGACAGAGTTTTGCTCTTGTTGCCCAGGCTGGAGTGCAATGGTGCAATTTTGGCTCACTGCATCCTCCGCCTCTCAGGTTCAAGCAGTTCTCCTGCCTCAGCCTCCTGAGTAACTGAGATTAGAGGCAGCCCCCTCACCACGCCCAGCTAATTTTTGTAGTTGTAGTAGAGACGGGGTTTCGCCATGTTGGCCAGGCTGGTCTCGAACTCCTGAACTCTGGTGATCCTCCCACCTTGGCCTCCCAAAGTGCTGGGATTACAGCTGTGAGTCACCACACCTGGCCTTCAAAGGTACTTCGATTCAGTGTCTGAGAGTGAAGTGCAGTTCTACTTCCTACAAATTTATTCCTCTTCCAGCAATCCCAATGTGAGTGAGTAGGCCCATAATCCATAATGCTGCTTAAGGCAGAAACGTCACAATAGTTCCAACCACCTTCACTCTCACGTTCCAACACCAACCACAAGCAACTTCTGTCAACTTCACCTCTAAACTCTTGAATCCTTCCACTTTTCCATTTCCACTGTCAATATTCCGCTGGAAGCCATCATCTCTGGCCTGGGCTACTGTAATAGCCTCCTACTACATCCACTACATCCCCTTCAGATCCATTTTCACTGTGCTCAATTTTTTTTTAAGTACTAATGCTCTCTCCTCAGTTTAAAAATCCTTTACTTTCTTATTGCTCTTAAAGGCCAAAAGCCTTAACATAGCCTACAAGGCCCTCCTTGGCTTAGCCTATGGCCATACTACCCTCTCCTCTGTATTCAGTCCATCTAGCAACTATTAGTACCACAAATGCAACAAATTCCTCCCAATACAGGCCCTCACAATGCCAGCCCACTGTCTGAAACACAGAGGCTGTTTTTGCTCATTTCTGACATTATCCATCAACAGAACCCCAGTATTTGTTGAATCAATGCTGAATGTTACTTATTATAATATACAGCACTACAAACAGCATTGTTATAATAGCATATATTATAAATATCACAATATTAGTATATGAATGCAATTAATGCTAATAAAATTTCACATTTACTGGCATATGACCACATCCTACAATTAAGGCAAAGTGGGCATAGTCAATTACATGATGCTATTGCTTATCCAGACCACACTGCAGCCCAGGGTCTAAATAATCAGGTTTGACTTTTGGTAGCAGCA